TCCTGTAGTCCCAGCTACTTGGGAGGCTGAGGTGGGAGAATCGCTTGAGCCTGAAAGGCAGAGGCTGCAGTGAACCATGATTGCACCACTGCATTCCAGTCTGGGTGACAGAACAAGACTCTGTCTCAAAACACAAACAAACCAAAAACTCACATTCCCCGGCCACACCCAAGCTTCCGGGCTCCTGTTCCTTCTGGGACAGGAATCTACCATGTCAGGAGTTACCCAGGAGGTCTGGATGCAGCCTGAGTGACCCCAGCTTGCAGTCTGAGTCAGAGCCCATGGGAACCATGGAAGGTGTTTGAGTGGAGCTGATGCCTTCAGATCTGGGGGACCAGTGGGAAGGAGTGAGAAACTGGAGGCACTGAGTGAAGAAGACAGGAGGGTGAAGATCTGAGCCAGACATGGGGGCGCCATGAAGGAAAGGAGATTCAGAGAGAGCACAGGTGGGCCAGGTGAGCTGGCTCATGCCTGTAATCCCAGCATGTTGGGGAGGCTGAGACAAGAGGATCACCTGGAGGTCAGTGGTTCAAGACCAGCCTGGACAACACAGTCAAACCCCATCTCTACTAAAAATATGAAAATTAGCCTAGCATGGTGGCAGGTTCCTGTAATTGCAGCTACTCAGGAGGCTGAGGCAGGAGAATCGCTTGAACCCGAGAGGCGGAAGTTGCAGTGAACCGAGATCATGCCACTGCACGTCAGCCTGGACAGGAGAGTGAGACCTCTGTCTCAAAAATAAAGAGAGAGAGCGCAGGTGGATGGCAGGTTGATGAGTCCATGGACAGGGAGGGGCCAGGGGAGAGATCAGAAACTCAAGAGCACTCAGTTTTGGAGGAAGATGCCCAGGCCAGCTACGCTCTGTTGAGTGGCAATGGCGGGGAGGGGAGGAGGATGCCCCCAACCCTCACCTGCAGCTCGTAGGTGCGGCTGGCACGGTCCTGTTTTATCTTCATAAGCATGCCTTCTTTCAGCTCCTCCAGCAGGGAGAAGAGGGACTGGAACTCTGCTTCGAGGTCCTCTTGCACCTTCGCCGAGTTCGCCTGGCTCGGAACAGCCAGGATCGGCGAAAGCCCGTGTTCAGAGGGGGAAACTGAGGCCTCCCACAGGTATCAACTGCAATGGGCCAGTTCCCACAGCTGCATCCTCTGCCTTCCGCCACCCGCCGCCCCAGGACTCCCCCACCGCCTTCACCTCCACATTCAACAGCATCTGTTTCAGGGAGTAGATAAAGCTCTGAATTTCTTCATTCTTCACGGCCAGTGTTGTGATGATCTTCCTCAGGGCCTCCTGCACCACCAGAAGTGTGGACACATACATGTGCACACACGTACACCCACATGTGCACACACACGTACACACGTGCACACACACGTGGCAGGCAGGTGAGCCCCTCAGCCTGACAAGGCTCTTCCTTGTATGGTCAACGCTCCCCTACAGGGATTCAGAGAGGAGATGTGGGGGCTGCTACGCTATCAAGCTTGTGTACGCGGCAGCAGGTGAAGCTCTGGACTGATACAACTCACCTATAGCAGCTGGGAGCCCTAAGCAACCCCATATTACAGGAGAGAAAACTGAGGCTCAGAGAGAACGTCTCAGGAAGGGACACAACCCGGCCCCAAACCAGGCCTGCCTGAGCACAAAGGCTACAACCCGTTACCTGCATCCTGAAGGTGGGGCGCGAGGGGCCACCCTGGGGACGGAAAACCCCAGAGGAAAAGGATGCCTTTTGGAAAATGGGCTAACCTGGGGAAAGGGTTCTTGGTGGGAGGAAAAACCATAGGGAAGTGGGATAGCCTGGGACAGAGCTAGCCTCGCAACAGGGGTGAGCCAGGGAAGGGGAACCCCTGAAGGATGGGGCCTACCTGGGGGAGAAGGATAAGCAAGAAAAAAGAAATTACCTGGGCAAAAAAGTGGAACCTGGGAGTCAGAGATGTGGGGCCCCAGGTAAGCGGGGAGGGGGCAGGGAGTCCTGGGGGAAGGGCAGGGGATTCTGGGAGGGAGGATCCTGCTCGGGGCCCCTTGCTCTGACCCACGCTTCCGACGGGCTCCTTTTCACAGGGGCAGGGTCGGTGGGGTCCGCACTGCGGAGCTGGCGTGGCGTCCTCCGGGGGTGGGGCGGGGGCTGGGACGCCTGGTCCGCGGCCGGGAGGGAGGGCGTGGGGGATGGGGGTCTGGGCTGGGACTTGGATATTGGGTGGGGTGGGGGGGGGAGACGGCACGAATCTGGCGCCAAGCCAACAAGGGGGGGCGCTCCGTCCCAAACTGGAGTATGGGGGCTAAATCCGGGCGGGGTCGCGACTGGGTGGGGCCTCGGCCGCAGAGCAGCTGGGGCGGAGGCGTGGGAGGGGGGCGCGCTGCGGTAACACCTGGTCCCCTCCCCCGCCCCCGACGCCCGGCCCCGCCCCGCCCCGTCCTACCCTCTGTTCTTCCATGGCTGCAGCCCAGGTCACCCCGGCCCGGCCCGCGGGCCCCGCGCACTCTGGGTCCCCAAGCTGCCTTTGCCGCGGCCGGTAGCCAATAGCCCGCCGAGCCCTCGCCGCCGCCGCGCCCCCGGTTAGCGCTCCATCACCGCGCGCACTGCGCAGGCGCGGCCGCCGCGGCCGCCTGGGAAATGTAGTTCGGCGCTGGGCTCGCCCAGAGCACGCAGGTCCAGCGCCTGGGGCTCACCGGGCGCTGTTGGTGATGACATGTAAGCTGGAGAGAGCCCTGGATCAGAAGATAGGGGGCTCGACCCCCGGCCCTGTCGTGGGACCTCAGAATCATCTCTAGAGATCTTGTGCCTCCGTTTCCCCCCCTGCTCACCCACACATGTTATTCGTTGCTACTCAAATTGTCTAGCCCGCCTTCTTGGGCCTTGCATTTGCTGAAAATCTGCGGCTTTTGCCCAAGAGGGTGTTCAGCTTCTAATGCCTTCTTTCCATTTGTCCCTATGTTGCAACTGAACTCCTATACACCCCACAAAGCCCCAGGCTCCAACAGCTCCTCCAGAAGTCTTCATGCCAGCCCAGGCACGGAAGCTAAGAATGTCTGTCTCCAGCTGTGGAAGGGCCTAGCACCTAATCTATCCAGGGTCCCTCCGCAGAGGGAGGGGGGATGGGTGGAGCTTCAGAATGTTCTGGGGAGGGGAAGGAGTGGGCAGGGGAGGCTGGGAGGGTGTGTGTGTCTGCTGGGGAGGTGAGGCACCGTCACCGCGGGGCCCTCCCTGTGGGTGATGTAGGCCTTCTCAGTCCCAGTGAGAAAGGAGGTCACTGTGCAGTTGGGTCTGAGACATTGAGGTCTGTGGGTTCGCCACCTCCTCCCAGAAGGCACTACAGAATCAGGGGCAGGGGGGTGCAGAGCTGTGAGGAACTCCAGAGCCCATGAACCTCCTGCCTGGGACCCCCAAGCTTCCCCCAGGCCATGTAATAGGACCCCAAATTATCAACAGATATCTATTTCTCTGAATCACAAAGGAAGGCTGCTTTATTATTATTATTATTATTATTATTATTATTATTTTGAGATGGAGTCTCACTCTGTTGCCCAGGCTGGAGTGCAGTGGTGTGATCTCGGCTCACTGCAACCTCCACCTCCTGGGTTCAAACGATTCTCCTGCCTCAGCCTCCTGAGTAGCTAGGATTACAGGCATCTGCCACCACGCCCAGCTAATTTTTGTATTTTTGGTAGACACGGGGTTTCACCAAGTTGGTGAGGATGGTCTTGAACTCCTGGCCTCATGATCATCCTGCCTCAGCCTCTCAAAGTGCTGGGATTACAGGCATGAGTCACTGCACCCGGCTTTTTTTTTTTTTTTTTTTTTTCCCCAGAGACAAGGACTCACTCTGTTGTCCAGGCTGGAGTGCAGTGGCGCAATCATGGCTTACTACAGCCTCCAACTCCTGGGCTCAATTGATCGTCCTGCCTCAGCCTCCTGAGTAACTGGGACCACAGGCATGCACCACCACCCTGGGCTGTTTTTTGTTTGTTTGTTTGTTTGTTTGTTTGTTTGTTTGAGACAGGGTCTCACTCTGTAGCCCAGGCTGGAGTACAGTGGCAGGATCTCGGCTCACTGTAATCTCTGCCTCCCCGGTTCGAGCAATTTTCCTGTCTCAACCCCCTTGACTAGCTGGGATTACAGGTGCCCACCACTAGGCCCTGCTAATTTTTGTATTTTTAGTGGGGATGGGGTTTCGCCATGTTGGCTAGGCTGGTCTGGAACTCCTGACTTCAGGTGATCCACCCTCCTCAGCCTCCCAAAGTGCTGGGATTACAGGTATGAGCCGTAATGCCCAACAACAAAAAAATGACATTTTGGGAACAAAATGATTGAGGTAAGGACCCTGTCATTTAACTAACTGCTCAGGTTTATGCTAACTGACCCTCCCCCACAGTCACCTGCTCTCTCATTGTGTCTTCCTGTACCCAGATGTGTTTATGTAGAGCCTTCCAGAAAGATCACAGGGGTGCATTCCTGCCACTCACCTAAGTACACTGCCTGCTTGCCTTTGTTTCTTCTTTCTTTCATTCTTTCTTTCTCTCTCTCTCTCTCTCTCACACACACACACACACACACACACACAGTTGGAGTGCAGTGGCACAATCTCAGCTCTCTGCAACCTCCGCCTCCCAGGTTCAATCCATTCTCCTTCCTCAGATTCCTGAGTAGCTGGGACTACAGGCACCCACCACCATGCCCACCTAATTTTTGTATTTTTAGTAGACAGGGTTTCATCATGTTGGCCAAGCTGGTCTTGACCTCGATGAGCCACCTGCCTCAGCTTCCCAAAGTGCTGGGATTACAGACGTGAGCCATGTCGCCCGGGCCCATACACTGTCTTTCAGATAGAAAATGCATTGGGGAAACTGAGGCACACAGTTGCAGGAAGTGGAGCCCTCAGTAGCCTGGAACACCGGACGTCTGCTGTCTGTCTGGCCCTGGGTGTCACATCTGCCTCTGCAGCAGGAGGCGGAGATTGTGGCAGGAAGTCTGTGAACTGGGAGGGGGAGAGGGGGCCTGAAGGGCCAGGAACGGGGTCCCTGGGCATGATGCTTGTCCTCCTGGTGCAGCTCTGGGGTGAGTACTTGGGCCTCCCTTCCCTCCACACCCTCCTCGTGCTGTGATCCCCAGCTGACTGCCCCCAGCTCAGAGGCCCCGTAAACTTCAGTCTCTCCTCTCTGCCAGATAAGGCCATCTCCCTCTGAGGGAGTCTTGAAAATGAGACTCGGAACCTTACCGGGGCTGGAGGATTAAGAAAGCATCCTCTGAGGAGGCCCCTAGGAGACAGGCTGAACCTTGCCCTGCATACCAGCCTGGCCTGGCCTCTCTGCTCTTCACCCTCTGCAAGGCTTTAGCTCCGTCCCTTCGCTCAAGCCTGGGGGCCTTTCTTTCTGTTTCCCCAATGGGAAGCCTGGATCCAACCTTCAGGCCTTTGCAGCTGCTGTTCCAGCTGCCTGATACCCTTCCCGGGTCTCATGTTTCCATCCTCGTCTGCAAGTGCATCTCAGATGCCAGGAACTTGACATAACCTCACCTTCTGCGGGGGTCTAGCAGACACGTCAGACTCCTCCCGGCCAAAAGCAAACTTTCCACTCCAGCGGTACCTCCCTCTGTGTTTACAATTAAGGACAAAGGCTGGCTGGGCACGGTGGCTCACGCCTGTCATCCCAGCACTTTAGGAGGCCAAGGCAGGCGGATCACAAGGTCAGGAGTTCAAGACCACCCTGACCAACATGGTGAAACCCCGTCTCCACGAAAAATACAAAAGTTAGCTGGGCGTGGTGGTGGGCACCTGTAATCCCAGCTACTCAGGAGGCTGAGGCAGAAGAACTGCTTGAACTTGGAGGCAGAGGTTGCAGTGAGCCGAGATCGCCCACTGCACTCCAGCCTGGGTGACACAGTGAGACTCCCTCTCAAAAAAAAAAAAAAAAAAAAAAAAAAAGGACAAAGGCTACTGCCCTTCACACATTTCCTGAGGCGAAAACCTCCATTCCTCCTTCCCTCTCCTCCAGTTCTAGCTGCTTGCACTGTTTTTGTTGTTGTTCATTTATTTTTGTTTTTTAGAGATGGGTCTCACTATGTTGCCCAGTCTGGTCTTGAACTCCTGGCCTCAAACCATCATCCAGTCTTGACCTCCTGAAGTGCTGGGATAAGAGGCGTGAGCCACCATGCCCAACCAAGATCTTTTTTTTTTTTTTTTCCTTTTTGAGATGGAGTCTCACTCTGTTGCCCAGGCTGGAGTGCAGTGGTGCGATCTCGGCTCACTGCAACCTCCGCCTCCTGGATTCAAGCAATTCTCCTGCCTCAGCCTCCCGAATAGCTGGGACTACAGGCACATGCCACCACATCCGGCTAATTTTTTGTATTTTTTTTTTTTTTTTTTTAGCAGAGATGGGGTTTTACCGTTTTAGCCAGGATGGTTTCGATCTGCTGACCTCATGATCTGCCCGCCTTGGCCTCCCAAAGTGCTGAGATTATAAGAGTGAGCCACCAGGCCGGGCGCGGTGGCTCAAGCCTGTAATCCCAGCACTTTGGGAGGCCGAGGCGGGTGGATCACGAGGTCAAGAGATCGAGACCATCCTGGTCAACATGGTGAAACCCCGTCTCTACTAAAAATACAAAAAATTAGCTGGGCATGGTGGCACGTGCCTGTAATCCCAGCTGCTCAGGAGGCTGAGACAGGAGAATTGCCTGAACCCAGGAGGTGGAGGTTGCGGTGAGCCGATATCGCGCCATTGCACTCCAGCCTGGGCAACAAGAGCGAAACTCCGTATCAAAAAAAAAAAAAAAAAAGAGTGAGCCACCATGTTCGACCAAGATCTTTTTATTACAAAGTAAATTAGAGGCTGAGGCAGGTGGATCGCTTGAGGTCAGGAGTTCCAGACCAACCTGGCCATTATGGTGAAACACTGTCTCTACTGAAAATATAAAAATTAGCCGGGCGGGGTGGTGGGTGCCTGTAATCCCAGCTACTCAGGAGGCTGAGCCACAAGAATCGTTTGAACCTGGGAGGCAGAGGTTGCAATAAGCTGAGATCATGCCACTGCACTTCCTCCACCTGGGTGACGGAGTAAGACTCTGTCTCAAAAAAAAACCCCAAAACTTAAATTGGACTATGTCTTCCCTGCTTCCTGATTTCCCATCACACTTAGATTCAAAGATAAACGGCTTAACTTCCCCCACATCCCCACACCACCCCAAGGCCACAGGGTGGTGACCGACCTGTCTTCCTTCTCTCCTTCCTCTCTCCCCCTCCTCACTCCGCTCCAGCTGTACGGGCCTCCTGGCTGTTCCTCGAACATGCCAGACACAGTTCTGCCCCAGGACCTTTGCATGGGCTGTGCCCTCTGCCTGGAAAGCGCTTACCCCCCAATACCTTCCTTCAACAGTGGGTACCCCTTTCGATTAATATCTGAGCTCAGGCTGGGCACGGTGGCTCGTGCTTATAATCCCAGCAATTTGGGAGGCTGAGGTGGGAGGATCACATGAGACCAGAAGTGTTTTGTTTGGTTTTGTTTGAGACAGAATCACGCTCTGTCACCCAGGCTGGAGTGCAGTGGCACGATCTCAGCCCACTGCAATGTTCACCTTCCAGGTTAAGTGATTCTCCTGCCTCAGCCTTCCGAGTAGCTGGGACTACAGGTGCCTGCCACCATGCCATATATATATTTTTTGAGACAGAGTTGCATTCCTGTTGCCTAGGTTGGAGTGCAATGGTGTGATCTTGGCTCACTGAAACCTCTGCCTCCCGGGCCCAAACAATTCTCCTGCCTCAGCCTCCCAAATAGCTGAGATTACAGGCATGTGCCACAATGCCCAGCTAATGTTATATATTTAGTAGTGAGGAGGTTTCTTCATGTTGGTCAGGCTGGGCTCGAACTCCCGACCTCAGGTGATCTGCCTGCCTTGGCCTCCCAAAGTGCTGGGATTATAGGCATGAGTCACTGCACCTGGCCACCCAGATAATTTTTGTACTTTTAGTAGAGACAGGGTTTCAACATTATGGCCAGGCTGGTCTTGAACCCCTGAGCGCAAGTGATTTACCTGCCTTGCCCTCCCAAAGTGCTGGGATTACAAGTGTGAGCCACTGCACCCAGCCCATGAGCCCAGGAGGCTGAGGCTGCAGTGAGCTATGATGGTGACCCTGTACTCCAGACTGGGCAACAGAGTGAGATGGAGACTTAAAATATATATATATGGAGTCTCGCTCTGTTGCCCATGCTAGAGTGCAGTGGCATCGTCAAAACAAACAAACAAAGAAACAAACAAAAAAAAACACTCCGATCATAGGTCACATATATAATCCCAGCACTCTGGGAGGCGTAGGTGGGAGAATCACTTGAGGCCAGGAGTTCACCACCAGCCTGGGCAACAAAGCAAGACCCCAACCTCTACCAAAAAAAAAAAAAAGCCAGGCATAGTGGTGTATGCCTGTGGTCCCAGCTACTTAGTAGGCTGAGGCAGGAGGATTACTTGAACCCATGAGTTCGACACTGCCATGAGCTATGATGGTGCCACTACACTCCAGTCTAGACTACAGAGCCAGACCCCAACTCTTTTTTTTTTTTTTTTTTTTTTTTTTGAGACGGAGTTTCGCTCTTGTTACCCAGGCTGGAGTGCAATGGCGCGATCTCGGCTCACCGCAACCTCCGCCTCCTGGGTTCAAGCAATTCTCCCACCTCAGCCTCCTGAGTAGCTGGGATTACAGGCACGCGCCACTATGCCCAGCTAATTTTTTGTATTTTTAGTAGAGACGGGGTTTCACCATGTTGACCAGGATGGTCTCGATCTCTTGACCTCGTGATCCACCCGCCTCGGCCTCCCAAAGTGCTGGGATTACAGGCGTGAGCCACCGTGCCCGGCTGACCCCAACTCTTAAAAAAAAAAAAGTCACCACCGAAGAGAGGTCTTCCCTGATTACTCTCAGTGAGGAGATGTCCCTTGACCTGACTGTTGTCTTCTTGACCTCTCCCATTCCTTCCCCAGTGACAGTTCTCTTTTAATGACTTCCTGTGTCTCTCTTGACCCAGACTGTCAGCTTCTGAAGGGCAGGGATTTTCATCTGTTTTGGTCACCCCTGCGTCTGTATTCCCCACACCCAGCAGAGCGCCTGGCACACGCTAGGCAATCTTTGTGTAGCTGAGTACTGGAGACTATCTCAGACTTCCACAAGCTCTGAGCGACTTCTACCCATTTTACAGATGGGGCTGTTGAGCCTCTGTAAGATGTGACATTCCAAAGGTCATAGAGACAGTGAGGTTCTTCGGATTTTTTAATGTTTAGTTTTTAGAGACAGAGTGTTACTCTGTTACCCAGGCTGGAGTGCAGTGGTGCCAACAGAGCTCACCGCAGCCTCAAACTCCTGGGCTCAAGTGACTGCCTGACTTCAGTCCACCACATGCAGCTACTTTTTTTTTTTTTTTTTTTTTTTTTGAGACTCTAGCCCAGGCTGGAGTGCAGTGGCGTGATCTCAGCTCACAGCAGCCTCTGCCCCATGGGTCCCAATTCAAGCAATTCTCCTGCCTCAGCCTCCCAAGTAACTGGGATTACAAGCACGTGCCACCATGCCCAGTTAATTTTTGTATTTGTGTGTGTGTGTGTGTGTGTGTGTGTGTGTGTGTGTGTGTGTGTTTTGAGATGAATTCTCACTGTCACCCAGGTTGGAGTGCAGTAGCACGATCTTGGCTCATTGCAACTTCTGACTCCTGGGTTCAAACGATTCTCCTGCACTGGCCTCCCAAGCTGGGATTACAGGAACCCACCAGCATGCCCAGCTAATTTTTGTATTTTCAGTAGAGACGGGGTTTCACCATGTTGGCCAGGATGGTCTCGATCTCTTGACCTCGTGATCCGCCTGTCTCGGCTCCCAGAGTGCTGGAATTACAGGCATGAGCCACCGTGCCCGGCTGCTAATTTTAAATATTTATTGTAGAGGTGAGGTTTTGCTATGTTCCCAGGCTGGTCTGGAACTCCTGGGCTCAAGGGATCCTCCCACCTCGGCCTCTCAAAGTGCTGGGACTACAGGCCTGAGCCATTGCACCCAGCTTAGACAAACGGGTTTTTGTTTGTTTGTTTGTTTTTAAGACCAAGCCTCACTCTGTTGCCCAAGCTGGAGTGCAATGGCATGGTCTCAGCTCACTGCAAACTCCACCTCCCGGGTTCAAGTGATTCTCCTGCGTCAGCCTCCTGAGTAGCTGGGATTACAGGTGTGTGCCATCACGGTCGGCTAATTTTTGTATTTTAAGTAGAGATGGGGTTTCACCATGTTGACCAGGCTAGTCTCAAAACTCCTGACCTCGGGTGATCCACCCACCTCAGCCTCCCAAAGTGTTGGGATTACAGGCGTGAGCCTCCACACCCGGCTGACAAATGGGGTTTCAAACCCAGACTGTGGGCTCCCTCGGGGAGTGAGTCTCACAGCCTCACATGCACACACTGAGAAAGATCAATTCCATCTCTTCTGTCCTCAGCCCTGCAAGGAGCCTCAAGCCTGAGCGTGCAGCAGGGGCCCCAGCGGCTGCATGTGAGACAGGGCAGTCAGGCGACCCTGGACTGCCACGTGGACCAGGGGCCAGCCTGGGAACGGCTCCGTGTTGTGTGGACCAAGGATGGGAATGTCACGTGCCAGCCGTACATCACCAATGGCCACCTCAGCCAGGGGCTCTGTGGGCCCCAGGGACGGCTCTCCTGGCAGGCACCCAGCCACCTCACCCTGCGGCTGGACCCTGTGAGCCTCAGCCACAGCGGAACCTACGTGTGCAAGGCGATCATAGAGATTCCTGACTTGGAGAAGGCTGAGGGCAATGGCACTTGGCTCTCGGTGGACCCAGGTACCAGAACCAGCGGAGAGAGGGTGGGGCAGCGAGGAGTATCCTAGAATCTTCTTTGTTTTTGTTTTTGAGACGGAGTCTCATTCTGTTGCCCAGGCTGGAGTGCCGTGGCACAATCTCTGCTCACTGCAACCTCTGCCTCTTGGGTTCAACTGATTCCCCTGTCTCAGCCTCCCGAGTAGCTGGGATTACAGGCACACACTACCTTGCCCGGCTAATTTTTTGTATTTTTTTAGTACAGAAGAGGTTTCACTGTGTTAGCCAAGAAGGTCTCGATCTCCTGACCTCGTGATCTGCCCACCTAGACCTCCCAAAGTGCTGGGATTACAGGCATAAGCCACTGTGCCCAGCCAGATTCTAGAATCTTAAGATCTAGACTTTGGAATCTCAAACTCCTAGAATCAAAAAACTCTAAATTCTTCATATCAAACTTTGTTTTTTGTTTTTTAAAGATGGGGTTTCACCATGATGGCCAGGCTGGTCTTGAAATCCTGACCGTAGGTGATCCACCCACCTCAGCCTCCCAAAGTGCTAGGATTACAGGCGAGCCAGCACGTCTGGCTTTTTTTTTTTTTTTTTTTTTTTTTTTTTTTGAGACAGAGTCTTGCTCTGTCATCCAGGCCTCAGAGTGCAGTGGCACCATCTTGGCTCACAGCAACCTCCACCTCCCAGGTTCAAGAGATTCTCTTGCCTCAGCCTCCCAAGTAGCTGGGATTACAGGTGCTCACCACCTTGCCTGGCTAACTGTTTTGTTTTTGAGATGGAGTCTCGCTCTGTTGCCAGGCTGGAGTGCAGTGGCACAGTCTCGGCTCAGTGCAACCTCTGCCTCCCAGGCTCCATCAATTCTCCTGCCTCAGTCTCCTGAGTAGCTGGATTACAGGTGTCCATCACTATGCCCAGCTAATTTTTTGTATTTTAGAAGAGACAGGGTTTCGCCATGTTGGTTAGGCTGGTCTCGAACTCCTGACCTCAGGTGATCCACCTGCTTCAGTCTCCCAAAGTGCTGGGATTACAGGTGTGAGCCGCTGCACCCGGCCAGATCCTAGAACCTTAAGACTTTTGAATCTCAAGGTCTAGAAACAAAAAAACTCTAAATTCTTCATATCAAACTTTTTTTTTTTTTTTTTTTTTTTAGACAAGAGTTTTGCTGTTGTCTTCCAGGCTGGAGTTCAATGGCATGACCTCGGCTCACTGCAACCTCTGCGTCCTGGGTTCAAGCAATTCTCCTACCTCAGCCTCTTGAGTAGCTGGGATTACAGGTGAGGCCACCATGCCCGGCTAATTTTTCTGTGCTTCTAGTAGAGATGGGGTTTTACCATATTGGCTAGGCTGGCCTTGAACTCCTGACCTCAGGTAATATGCCTGATTTGGCCTCCCAAAATGCTGCGATTACAGGCACGCACCACAATTTAGACTGTATAAAAACAGAATCCTGGTTGGGCACAGTGGTGCACACCTGTAATCTCAGTGCTTTGGGAGGCCAAGGGAGGCGGATCACAAGGTCAGAAGACTGAGCATCCTGGGCTGCATCGTGAAACTCCATCTCTACTACAAATACAAACATTAGCCGGGTGTGGTGGTGCACGCCTCGTGGGAGGCTGAGGCAGGAGAATCACCTGAACCTGGGAGGCGGAGGTGGCAGTCAGCCAAAATCATGCCACTGCACTCCAGCCTGGCAGCAGAGTGAGACTCTGTCTCCAATACACAAACAAACAGAATCCTAGAATTCTAGAATCCAGAATTGAAAGTCATCAGCCAGGCACAGTGGCTGATGCTTGTAATCCCAGCATTTTGGGAGACTAAGATGAGAGGATCACTTGAGCCCAGGAGTTAGAGGCTACAGTGAGCTATAAGCAGGAAAACAGAGCGAGATCCTGTCTCTAAATAAAATAAAGCCATCGGCCGGGTGCAGCAGCTCGTGACTATAATCCCAGCACTTTGGAAGGCCAAGGTGGGTGGATCACCTGAGGTCAGGGGTTCGAGACCAGCCTCGCCAACATGATGAAACCCCCCCTCTCTACTAGAAACACAAGAACTAGCCGGGCGTGGTGGTGCACGCCTGTAATCCCAGTTACTCGGGAAGCTGAGGCAGGAGAGTCACTTGAACCCAGGAGGCAGAGGCTGCAGTGAGCCGAGATCACAGCACCGCACTCCAGTCTGGGCCACAGAGCGAGACTCCATTTCAAAAAGAAGTCATGGACTCTCAAAGTTGGAAGAAGCTCTCCAGATAGCTTTCCATATCAGCAAAGGCAGCTGCCTCATTTTACAGATGAGACAGGTGTGGCCAGAGAGGGTCAAGACATGCCCAGCGCTATCCACTAGGCAGGGGTGCAGCCTATGCACTCCACTTTGCTATGTCACCCCCTTGTAGACTTACCCTGGGCAGAATCGGGAAACCCAAGGGGATCCAGGCTTTGCCTCCTGCTCTGTGCAGGGTGCCTGTGGGCCCTGGGCATCTGCCCAGCCCCCTCTGGCAAAAGAGAGCTTGCAGCTCCCATGCCCTAGAGATGCCTGTTCCTCTCCAGCTGGTAGGACCAGCCTGATGGCAGGGACACGTGCTCTGCCTCAAGGGAGGGGTGTGTTATGGCTGCCTTACCCACCTCCCCCACCCCTCCAATGTCAAAGGGCCAATTAGCAATTAGAGGAGGCTGGGTGGTGGAGGGGCCAGGCTGTGTGTTGCCAGCTTCGAAACAGAGCTGGGAGTGGGCGCTGGGCCAGCCCCACACAGCTGGCTTCCCCACCCACTCCAACCCTGAACAGCAGCTTGGCAGTCCCCAGGGATTGCCTGCCAACCTCAGAGGCTGCAAGAGGAGGGGGTTGGGGTGCTGGACCTTATCTTAATTGGGGCATTCACAGCCTTTGGCTGGAGTTCCTGTAGATTATACAAACCTGGATTCAAGCCTGTGTTTCATTTACTTGCTGTGTGACCTTGATCAAGTGACTTGACCTCTCTGTGCCAGTTCCCTCTGGTGTCAGAATAGAGTGAATAGTGTTTCCTCATCAGGGTGGGTGACTTCAGAGGGGTGATAGCTGAAGTGCTTGCTATAATCCAAGTGCAGTGGCTCATGCCTGATAGCCCAGCACTTTGGGAGGCCAAGGCAGGAGGATTGCTTAAGGCCAGGAGTTCGAGACCAGCTTGGCCAACACAGCAAGACCCCATCTCTACCAAAAAATTCTCAAATTAGCCAGGCATGGTGGCACACACCCATAGTCCCAGCTGCTCGAGAGGCTGAGGTGGGAGGATCGCTTGAGGCCAGGATTTGCTGACTGCAGTGAGCTATGATTGCACCACTGCACTGCAGCCTGGGAGACACAGAGAGACCCTGTCTCCAGAAAAACACACAACAACAACACAGTGCTTCGCACAGGGCCTGGGACATAGTAAGTGCTCAAGTAACCTAAGTGTGACCTTCTCTGAGCCGAGGTGAGAAAGGGCTTTGTTCGTAGCCGGGCGTGGTGGTGCATGCCTGCAATCCCAGCTACTTGGGAGGCTGAGGCAGGAGAATCGCTTTAACCAGGGAAGCGGAGGCTGCGGTGAGCCCAGATTGAGCCACTGCACTCCAGCCTGGGCAACAAGAGTGAAACTTCGGCTGAAAAAAAAAAAGGCGGGGGGGGGGGGGCTTTGTTCAAAGCAGGTCTTGGCTACCTTCTGGGTAGGGGACCCTCAGCAAGAGACTTAGGCTCTCTGAGCCTCAGTTTCCCCATCTGTAAAATGGGCATGGCTTGGAATCCACTCTCAAACATAAACAGAAACAAACAGGAGCCCAGGACAAAGATGGTGGAGCTCACGATGACAAGTTCCAGCTGGCAGTTTCTCTATAATGACCCACCCAAACAGGGACCACGAGCCTCATTTTTCTTTCTTTTTTGAGACGGTGTTTTACTCTGTCACCCAGGCTGGAGTGCAGTGGCACAATCTCAGCTCACTACAGCCTGTGCCTCCTGGATTCCAGCGATTCTCTTGCCTCAGCCTCCTGAGTAGCTGGGACTACAGGTGTGCACCACCATGCCCAGTACTAATTTTTATCTTTTTAAGAGAGACAGGGTTTCACCATGTTGCCCAGGCTGGTCTCAAACTCCTGACCTCAAGTGATCCTCCTGCCTTGGCCTCCCAAAGTGCTTGGATTATAGGCGTGAGTCACTGTGCTCTGCCGGGCCTCATTTTTCAGAAGAGGAAACTGAGGTTCAGAGTGAACTACAAAGCCTGGCAGGAGGAGGGACACTTAAGTCCCTCTTTGCGAGCTCTGTCCTTGAAGGGTGCAGGAGCCTGGCGCCCTCCCATGACATAGGTTTCCTCTCTGCAGATGACCCCCCACAGAACAGAAACCTGACCTCAAGCTTCCGAGGTGAGTCCTGCCCGGTGTTCCTCCCCCGGCTCTTCCTCCCCTGTCACCGTCCCCACCCTCCTGCTTAGACCATCCCTTCTCCCCTCACCCAGGACTCCTCTTCGTGCCGTTGGGGGTGGGGAGCGTGGGTGTGGCTGCAATGGTGCTAGGCACCTGGTTCTGGGGCCGCCGCCGCCGCTGCCAGCAAAGGGACTCAGGTAACAGCCCAGGTAAGATGGGGTGGGTGGAGGCAGGAACAGCCCCTGCTTGACAAAGACCCACTGCATCCCTGCTCCTGCTTTGGTTTAGGGGAAGGAGGGAGGAGGGATGAAGGCGGGGAAGCCTGGCTCCCATATCCGATACCCATATTTTTCAAAAATAGAGACAAAACTTTTTTTTTTTTAAAGACGGGATTTCGCCATGTTGGTCAGGCTAGTCTTGAACTCCCGACCTCAGGTGATCCATCCGCCTTGGCCCCCAAAGTGTGTGGATTACAGGCGTGAGCCACTGCGTCCGGCCCAGAGACAAAGCTCTTAGCTTGGGCAACCTACCAAGATCCCGTCTCTACAAAAAATTGAAAATTAGGCTGTGCACGGTGGCTCACGCCTGTAATCCTGGCTCTTTGGGAGTCCAAGGCAGGAGGATTATTTGAGGTCGTGAGTTCGAGATCAGCCCGGGTAACATGGTAAAACCCTGTGTCTACTAAAAATACAAAAATTAGGCAGGCGTGGTGGCCTGTGCCTATAGTCTCAGCTGCTTGGGAGGTTGAGGCAGGAGAATCACTGGAACCGGGAAGGCGGAGGTTGCGGTGAGCCGAGATCGCCTCACTGCACTCCAGCTTAGGTGACACAGCAAGACTCCATCTCAACAGCAACAAAATTAGCCAGGTTTGGTGACACATGCCTGTGGTCCCAGCTACTCGGGAGGCTGAGGTGGGAAGATTGCTTCAACCCAGGAGGCGGAGGCTGCAATGAGCTACGGTTTCCCCACTGCACTCCAAACTGGGTGACAGAGAGAGACCCGATCTAAAAAAAAAAAAAAAAAAAAAAAAAAAAAAAAAAAAAAAAAAAGGCCGGGCGCGGTGGCTCAAGCCTGTAATCCCAGCACTTTGGGAGGCCGAGGCGGGTGGATCACGAGGTCAAGAGATCGAGACCATCCTGGTCAACATAGTGAAACCCTGTCTCTACTAAAGATACAAAAAATTAGCTGGGCAAGGTGGCGTGTGCCTGTAATCCCAGCCACTCAGGAGGCTGAGGCAGGAGAATTGCCTGAACCCAGGAGGCGGAGGTTGCGGTGAGCCGAGATCGCGCCATTGCACTCTAGCCTGGGTAACAAGAGCGAAACTCTGTCTCAAAAAAAAAAAAAAAAAAAAAAAATCTGGGTGAGGTGGCTCACGCCTGTAATCCCAGCACTTTGGGAGGCTGAGGCAGGCGGATCATGAGGTCAGGAGTTCAAGATAGAGCAAGAAGATTCCATCTCTACAGAAAATTTAAAAATAAGGTCGGGTGCGGTGGCTCGGGCCTGTAATCCCAGTTATACCATGACCAACATGGTGAAACTCCGTCTCTACTAAAGATACAAAAAATAAAAAATAAAAATAAGCTGGGCGTGGTGGCATGCGCCTGTGATCCCAGCTACTCAGGAGGCTGAGGTAGGAGAATCACTTCAACCCAGGAGGTGGAGGTTGCAGTGAGCTGAGATCACGCCATTGCACTCCAGCCTGGGCTACAGAGGGAGACTCCCATCTCAGAAAAAAAAAAAAAAAAAAAAAAAAAAAAAAGTTAAAAATTTTTTTAAAGAGAGAGAGAGAGAGACAAAGCCCCCAGAGGTCAGCCAGAGAGGGCCAGGCTCTCTTAAGCAACTGTCCCCTCTTGGTCTCTGTCATTCATCCTAGGAAATGCATTCTACGGCAATGTCCTATACCGACCCCAGGGGACCCCAAAGAAGAATGAGAACTCACCTGGAGATGGGAAGGACCAGAGAGTCCAGAGCATTTATTCAACCTCATTCCCGCAGCTGGTCACCTGCCAGCCCCGCCTGGCACCCAGACCTTGCCCCAGCCCCAGGCCTGGCTATCCCATCTCTAAGGTCAGAGTCTCTCCTAGCCCAGGCCCCACTGGGCAGCCAAGACGAAGAGAGTTCCCCTAAGTGGGAGAGGAGTAAGAGATCCCAGGGGACCCCCAACCAGCTCCCACCCATAGGTGCACACAAAAAAGAGGGCATTGAGGCTGGGCGTGGTGGCTCATGCCTGTAATCCCAACACTTTGGGAAGCCGAGGCTGGTGGATCACTTGAGGTCAGGGGTTCAAGACTAGCCTGGCTTGAACTTGGAGGTTGCAGTGAGCTGAGATTGCACCACTGCAATTCAGCCTGGACTACCGAGTGAGACCTCATCTAAAAATTTTTTTTTTTTTAAATAAAAAGAAGACGGGGGCGGACTGGGAGTCTGGCAGCCCCATCCTGAGACCCCGTTCTCATTTCTGTGATGATGGCTCTCCCCCCCCACTTTTCCCCCAAGACAACTTAATAAAGGCTTGTGAAGAAAAAGCAAAGCTGGTGTTTGTGGCGATTTCGGAGTGCTAAAGGGATCTGAGGGAATTAGGTGGGGTGGCTCATGCCTATAATCCGAGCACTTTGGGAGGCTGAGGTGGGAGGATCACTTGAGACCAGGAGTTCGAGACCAGCCTGGGCAATAGAGCAAGAAGACTCCATCTTTACAGAAAATTTAAAAATAAGGCCAGGTACAGTGGCTCACGCCTGTAATCCCAGCACTTGGGAGGCCAAGGGGGACAGATTACCTGAGGTCAGGAGTTCAAGGCCAGCCTGGGCAACACGGTGAAACCCTGTGTCTACTAAAAATACAAAATTTAGCTGGGTGTGATGGTGCCACTGATGGCTGTGGTCTCAGCTACTTGGGAGGCTCAGGCGGAAGGAGCTTGAGCCCAGGAGTCTGAAGTTGTAGTGAGCTATAATTACGTCACTACACTCCAGCCTGGGTGATAGAGTGAAACCCTGTCACACAAATACACGTCAAAAAGATTTAAGAGTTCCAGGTGTGGTGACTCATGCCTGTAATCCCAGCACTATGGGAGGCCGAGGAGGGTGGATCACAAGGTCAGGAGACAGAGACTATCCTGGCCAATGTGGTGAAATTGTCTCTACTACAAATACTAAAAAAAGTTAGCCGGGCGTGGTAGTGCATGCCTGTAATCCCAGCTACTCGGGAGGCAGAGGCAGAATTGCTTGAGTCCGGGAGGCGGAGGTTGCAGTGAGCCAAGATCGTACCATCGCGCTCCAGCCTGAGTGTCAGAGTGACACTCCATCTCAGAAAAAAAAAAAAAAAGATTTAAGGGGCCATCTGGGGGTCCCAGAGCTCCCAAGGGTGGCTGGAGAGGCCCACTGTGGCACAGGGACTTTGTGACAACTCAAAACCCCCCTCCCACCTTATATTTCTAGGGTCAAATCCAAGGAGCAGAAAGTGAGCGGTGCTCTGGTTTCCATTCAGCCCCTGTCCGGAAAGATCCCCTAGGCAGGCATCGTCCCCAGGCAGGCCTGGAGGTCGGGGAGGAGGGGGGTCAGGGTCTTCCGAGTGTTTACAGCCCCCCGGGGTCTCCTGCCCAACTGTCACCTTGAAGCTACACCAGCTAGGCCCGGCTCCCCTCCCCTGCTTCTGCTGTTCCCATGGGGACAGATGTCCTTTCTGCAGATCAAGCCACTGCAGCCCGGAGGAGGGAGCGGGGCTGGCCCGAGAGCCTGGCCCCGCTCAGTTTCTCCATCTTTGTATCTGCTGGTTTCTAGGCGTGTGGTTTTTATCTGCCTTACCCTGCTCTCTCTCTTGCTCTCTGTGTTCTGGTCCCTCCCTATGGGACATTCAGGCTCCAACCCCAACTCTGTCCCCAAAACAAAGAACTGGGGATGTCCTTGGTCCTCAAGGGTTTATTTATTTATTTATTTATTTATTAGAGACAGGGTTTCTCCATGTTGGTCAGGCTGGTCTGACCTCAGGTAATCTGCCCACCTCAGCCTCCCAAAATGCTGGGATTAGAGGTGTGAGCCACCAAGCCCAGCCTGAGGGTTTCCTTCTTTTTTTTTTTTTTTTTTTTTTTTTTGAGATGATGACTTGCTCTGTCCCCAAGGCTGGAGTGCAGTGGTGTGATCTCGGCTCACTGCAACCTCTGCCTCCCAGGTTCAAGCGATTCTCCTGCCTCAGCCTCCTGAGAAGCTGGGACAACAGGCGCCTGCCACCACACCTGGCTAATTTTTTGTATTTTCGTAGAGATGGGGTTTCACCGTGGTGCCCAGGCTGGTCTTGAACTCCTGAGCATAGGCAATCCACCTGCCTCGGCCTCCCAAAGTGCTGGTATTACAGAGCCATCCGGCCTGGCCTATTTTTTTTTTTTTTTTTTTTTTTTTTTTTGAGAGGGAGTTTTGCTCTTGTCACCAAGGCTGGAGTACAATGGTACCATCTCGGCTCACTACAACCTACACCTCCTGGGTTCAACCAAGTCTCCTGCCTCAACCTCTGGAGTAGCTGGGATGACAGGCCTGCACCACCATGCCCACCTAATTCTGTATTTTTAGTAGAGACAGGGTTTCTCCATGTTGGTCAGGCTGGTCTCACACTCCCGACCTCAAGTGATCCACCCGACTCAGCCTCCAAAAGTGCTGGGATTACAGGCGTAAGCCGCCACACCCGGCCTTCTCCAGCGTTTCAGTTGCCCCATCGTCCCCCTCTCCAGGACCCTTAGGGGTTTCCTGCTGGGAGTCAGCGATCCCCCCTTCCCTCTGCAGCCCAGAAAGGACACTAAGACAAACAATAACTTATTTATTTTCTAGGCCAGGGGAGGGCTTTGGGATACAATTCTGGGCCCGAGGACTCAAAAGGGGGCCGAGGGTCGCTGTCAGGGGGTCTGCGTCACCACAGGGTACAGCAGAGCCAGATGTTCGGCTCCCTGCACCGGCAGGGGGCGGGAACTGTAGTGGAGGACCAGCTCAGGCACGCTGGGGAAGGGCCCGCTGTGTTGACCCAGCACCACCTGGTTCTCTCGGGTCCGTGAGAACTTCAGATGCAGGAACCCCTGGCTGCTCCTGGGGGATGAGGGAGAAAGGGCCTCCTGAGCACCCTAAACCCACCCAGAAAGCCACTATCCCCAAATCCACCTCCCACAGTACCCAGGGCCTGGTGCTCCTGTGTGCCCAAAATCTGGTAAACAGCAGTGTGGTGGTGGCTGGTGTAGTTGCTCACACCTGTAATCCCAGTGATTTGGGAGGCTGAGGCTGTAGGATCACTCCAGGCCAGTTCGAGACCAGCCTGGGCAACAAAGTGAGATCCCGTATCCACAGAAAAACATTCAAAAATTAGGCACATGCGGTGTCTCACGGTTGTAATCCCAGCACTCTGTGGGTTGAGGGGCTGAGGCAGGCGGATCACTTGAAGTCAGGAGTTCGAGGCCAGCCTGGCCAACATGGTGAACTGTCATCTTTACTAAAATATAAAAATTAGGCTGGGCACAGTGGCTCACGCCTATAATCCCAGCACTTTGGGAGGCCGAGGTGGGTGGATCACGAGGTCAGGATATCAAGATCATCCCGGCCAACATGGTGAAATCCCGTCTCTACTAAAATACAAAAAATTAGCCTGGCATGGTGGCACATGCCTGTGGTCCCAGCTACTCGGGAGGCTGAGGCAGGAGAATTGCTTGAAACTGGGTGCCGGAGGTTGCAGTGAGCTGAGATCGCGCCACTGCACTCCAGCTGGGTGACAGAACAAGACTGCGTCCCCAAAACAAAACAAAACAAAACAAATAAAATTAGCTGGCTGTGGTAATGTGCGCTTGTAATCCCAGCTACTCGGGAGGCTGAGATGGGAGAATTGGTTGAAAGTGGGAGACAATGGTTGCAGCGAGTTGAGATCACACCACTGCACTCCCGCCTGGGGGGCTGAGCGAGACTCCGTCTCAAAAAAATTTGAGACGGAGTTTCGCTCTTGTTACCCAGGCTGGAGTGCAATGGCGCGATCTCGGCTCACCGCAACCTCCGCCTCCTGGGTTCAGGCAATTCTCCTGCCTCAGCCTCCTAAGTAGCTGGGATTACAGGCACACACCTCCATGCCCAGCTAATTTTTGTATTTTTAGTAGAGATGGGGTTTCACCATGTTGACCAGGATGGTCTTGATCTCTTGACCTCATGATCCACCCACCTTGGCCTCCCAAAGTGCTGGGATTACAGGTGTGAGCCACCACGCCCGGCCAATTTTTATTTATTTATTTATTATTATTATTATTTTTTGATTAGCCAGGGCTGGGGATGGTGGCTCATACCTGTAGTCCTAGCACTTTGGGAAGCTGAGGTGGATAAGCTGCTTGAGCCTAGGAGATTGAGACCAGCAGGGACTATATAGCAGAACCCTGTCTCTACATAAAATGCAAAAATAGCCAGGTATGGTGGTACTTGCCGAGGTGGTACTTGTGAGGCTGAGGCAGGAAGACTGCTTGAGCCTGGGAGGTGGAGGCTGCAGTGAGCCATAACTGTGCTATTGCATGCCAGCCTAGGTGACCCCATTTCATAAAATAAAAACAAAAATAAGGCCAAGCGCCGTGGCTCACTCCTGTAATCCCAACACCTTGGGAGGCCGAGGAACATGGATCACCTGAGGTGAGGAGTTCAAGACCAGCCTGGCCAACATGGTGAAACTCCATCCCCACTTACAATACAAAAATTAGCTGGGCGTGGTGGTGGGCACCTGCATCCCAGGTACTTGGGAGGCTGAGACATGAGAATCTCTTGTACCTGGGGGTCAAAGGCTGCAGTGAGCCGATATTGTGCCACTGAACCCCACCTGGGTGACAGAGCGAGACTCTGCCTCAAAAAAAAAAAAAATGTAATAAGAGGCCAGGTGTGGTGACCCATACCTGCCTTTAATTCCAGCACTTTGGGAGGCCAAGTCAGGCAGATCTCTTGAGACCAAGAGTTTGAGACCAGCCTGGCCAACATGGCAAAACCCCGTCCCTACTAAAGATCAAAGATGAGTGCGGTAGGGTGCGCCTGCAGTCCCCCAACGCCCAGGTTCAAGCAATTCTCCTGCCTCAGCCTCCAAAGTAGCAGGGATTACAGGTATGCACTACGCCTAATTTTTGTATTTTTAGGAGAAAAGGGGTTTCATCATGCTGACCAGGCTGGTCTTGACCTCCTTACCTGAAGTGATCCGCCCACCTTGGCTTCCCAAAGTGCTGGGATTACAGGCGGGAGCCACTGTGCTCCGACCCTATCTTGTGCTCTTAGATCTTGCCCTCAGACACCTAGCACAGTCTTAGGAGTGGTTTAAAATTAGACAGACTTAGACTTTTAGGGATGAAAGTACATACAAACAGGGTACTGTTTGTACCTAAAAAGCTTACAGGCACACCCTGAAATTTTGGTTTCAGGTGGACACAAATTGATAAACCTCCATTTCTGGACTAGGAGAGTCCAAAGGAGTCTTGTACACCTAGTTCATCATCTTCCCCAAGTTCTGGACCTCCTCTATGGCTTCCACTCTGTCTTCATGTATACCTCCGGCGACGGGGAGCTCATTCTCACCAGCTAATGGCCTCCCTGGAAGCTCCACCCCTGCTCCTAGGAGTCCCGCCCACTGGCCTGGAAGCCCTTCCCATTGGCTACTGGAGCCACACCTTCCCACTCCCTCTGAATTAACCCAAAAGGGTGACGCATGCAGTCCAGTGACCCTTTGTCCCTGTGAGGCTGAGGTCTCACCTGAGAGACAAGGAGCAGTCCTGGGGGCTGGTCTCACTGAGCCGCACTAGGTAGCTGCCTTCCTTGCAGAGGGACAGGAGGTTCTCCGCATCCGCCCTGTTCAGGGGGCCGTGGAACCACCTAGCGGTGCGAACAGGTATCTCATCAAAGGCTGTTGCCCTTCAAACACACGGTGGCTCACGCCTGCAATCCCAGCACTTTGGGAGACAGAGGCGGGAGGATCACCTGAGGTCAAGACCAGCCTCGCCAACATGGTGAAACCCCGTCTCCACTAAAAATACAAAAAAATTAACTGTGCAGGGTGATTACAGCGCGCGCCTGTAATCCCAGCTACGCAGGAGGCTGAGGCAGGAGAATTCCCTGAACCAGGGAGGCAGAGGTTTCGGTGAGCCGAGATCATGCCACTGCATTGCAGCCTGGGCCACAGAGTGAGATTCCCAATACACACACACACAAAAAGAAAGGCAAAAAGCAAATCAAACACACTCTGGGGTCTGCTGGGTCCATGCACAGCTGATGCAAGGGCTTGTAGTGTCTGGGCAAATGAAGAAGGAAAATTCCCCTGGATTTTTCAAGAGGAGCCTGGTTATTGGCTGCACCTGACATGGATCTTCACAGCCGCCTTGGCAACTTCAACCACTTTCACGACAGCAGTGCTACATCTTATATCTCACCCACCTGTCCCCTTCTTTCTTTTTTTTGAGACAGTCTCACTGTGTCACTCAGGCTGGAGTGCAGTGGCACCTTTTGGGCTCACTGCAACCTCCACTACCCAGGTTCAAGTGATTCTCATGCCTCAGTCTCCCTAGGCCTCAGAGTTAAATAGCCCACTGAAGAGCTTTAGGGGTGACTGTGATAACTTGGCCTGGATTCTGGGGATTTGGGCACTCCCTCAGGGAGCTCCCAGGCTGGAAGGACACAGAGTCAGCGTCTCCCAGCTCATGTGCCGCCCCGCAGCACGGAGTTGTGAGCCCACCAAACTCCTATGCCTCCCAGTTCCATCCTAAGAACTTCTGGCTGAGACTGATTTCTGTCTCTTGGCTCTAAGGCTGTAAGCCCCACCCAAGTTAAGGAAGGAAATTCCCTTTTCTGTTTGAACCTGAGGCTCAGAGAGGTTAAGTGACTTGCCCAAGGCTACATAGCCAGGAGGGAAGAGCAGGGATTTGAACCCAGAACTTGATACCAGAGAGAAAGGGACCCCATCTGCTTGTTTTGTGTCTAACTGGGTGTCTGGCACACAGCAGGCTCCGGTGCCCAGTAAAGATTAGTCGAAGAGGCCGGGCGCGGTGGCTCAAGCCTGTAATCCCAGCACTTTGGGAGGCCGAGGCGGGTGGATCACGAGGTCGAGAGATCGAGACCATCCTGGTCAACATGGTGAAACCCCGTCTCTACTAAAGGTGCAAAAAATTAGCTGGGCATGGTGGCGTGTGCCTGTAATCCCAGCTACTTAGGAGGCTGAGGCAGGAGAATTGCCTGAGCCCAGGAGGCGGAGGTTGCGGTGAGCCGAGATCGCGCCATTGCACTCCAGCCTGGGTAACAAGAGCGAAACTCCGTCTCAAAAAAAAAAAAAAAAAAAAAAAAAAAAAAAAAAGATTAGTCGAAGAAATGAAATAAGTGGATGAATGAATTCAAGTTCCCCCAGTTCCTCTAATCTGGAGAAAAGAAAAAAACTTCCGCCTGATACACTGGAGTCTACAGAAATGTTCAGCGGGGCTCCTCCACCTTCAGTTCCCCACTCACGGCTGTTTCTCCAGGGGCAGGGCTGGGTCCACTCGCTCTGCAGGCTGGGGGCTTCTGGGTGGGGGTCTCCGAAGCTCCTTGGCTGGGCCTGGAGTCCTTTCCCACTCTGAACTGTCAAACTGCACTGCAAGGGATATTTAGAGAATAAATAATTAAGTCCAGCCTCCCTTTGAGGGTGGGGCAGGGGCCAGCCAATGGAATCTCAGTAGGAAGGCGGGGCCAGATTGGGCAACCAAACAGAGCCCAGGGGCTGGACTTAAGGTAGGGGCTGGATTGGCCACAGCTGCAACCTACTGGCCTTCCGAAGAAACAGGTGTAGTCATTCATAAATCTGGTAGCAAGAAACATAAGGGGCGTGGCTAGAGGGGGTGGGTTAGAAGTTTCCAGCTAGGGGAACTAAATGCCTAAATCTAGTCCTTAAATCCCTTCTGGGGTTCAGCCGAGACTGAGGCGAAGTCCTAAAACTAGAAAATCACCCCCAATCGCCGGGCGCGGTGGCTCAAGCCTGTAATCCCAGCACTTTGGGAGGCCGAGGCGGGTGGATCACGAGGTCAAGAGATTGAGACCATCCTGGTCAACATAGTGAAACCCCGTCTCTACTAAAAATACAAAAAATTAGCTGGGCATGGTGGCGCGTGCCTGTAATCCCAGCTACTCAGGAGGCCGAGACAGGAGAATTGCCTGAGCCCAGGAGGCGGAGGTTGCGGTGAGCCGAGATCGCGCCATTGCACTCCAGCCTGGGTAACAAGAGCGAAACTCCGTCTCAAAAAAAAAAAAAAAAAAAAAAAAAAAGAAAGAAAATCACCCCCAATCTACAGATAGGGGGATAAAGGCACTGAGCTCCGAATACCCTCCCAGTCATAAAACTTTGGGGGCAAAGCCATGTTTGCACAGCTCTTCCTGGTCCAAATTAGTTTATTTTTTACAGCTGATTTTATAATTATCCCTTTTACAGAAGAGAAAACTAAGGCTCAGAGGCTTGTCCAAGCTCATCCGATTCAGCTAGAAACTGACCTGTGGTTTACTATTAAGGAATGCTGGCCGGGCATGATCCCAGCACTTTGGGAGGCCGAGGCAGGTGGATCACCTGAGGTCAGGAGTTCGAGACCAGCCTGGCCAACACGGTGAAACCCCGTCTCTCCTAAAAATACCAAATTTAGTCAGGCTTGGTGGTGGGTGCCTGTGATCCCAGCTACTCAGGAGGCTGAGTCAGGAGAACCACTTGAACCCGAAGGTGGAGGTTGCAGGGAGCTGGGATCGCGCCACCGCACACCATTCTGGTAGACAGAATGAGACTCTGTCTCAGAAAAGAAAAGAAAAGAAAAGAGATAAAAGAAAAGAAAAGAAATTCTACCCTGCCACCCCCCCGACACCCTATTCCAAAAGCAAACCACGTTCCCCTCCCTGCACCATACTGAGCAAGACAAGTAGGTTCTATTACACTCTAAAAAGTGTTTGTGTTTCCAAGGAAGATGCAAGTTGTCTTAGAAGAAAGAATTTAGGACTATCAGTCATTCACACTCCAGTGAGAATTAACTACCAAAGTGGCGAGTGACTGGACTCTACTTAGTACATGGAAACAGGAGACATGACCAGATGAGGAAATGCAGGGATGGGGCACTCAGATGTCAGGGTGTGGGTCTGAGAAGCACCTGCAAACGCCCTGGAGATGTGGTCTTTCTTCCACTCCCAGGGCTGGTCATACTCATCTGCTGGCCGTTCGTCCTCCTGGGGCATCCGGCTCTGCCGAGGCTTCTGCCCAGAAGGGGGCTCCTCCGCTATCTCTTGGTCCTGTTCCTCATAAGGGGTGTCATAGAGCTGCACCCCTCTGCCGGGCAGTTCTAGGAGGCAGGGGACATTGGTCAGCTCCTGCTCCCATCTGGGACCCTGCCACCTTCCCCCAAGCCCTGACTACTCACCACTCATAACCCGCTGGGCATCATAGGGCTCCATGTACCCATCATCTGGTGGTGCGGGATGAGGCTGGGCATCAAAGGGGTCTGAGTACTCCGTGTCAGCTTCTAGCTGCAGAGGGAAGGAAGGAGGAGGGGACAAGGACTCAAAAGGGGCACCCCCACTAAGTGATGCTGCTGTTCTTGCCTGCCTACTTGCTTGCCATCTGACACCTCTCCAAGACTTTTTATTTTTATTTATTTATTTAGAGAGGAGTCTTGCTCCATTGCCCAGGCTGGAGTGTCCCCGCCACCACACCTGGCTAATTTGTGTATTTTTGGTAGAGATGGGTTTTTGCCATGTTGCCAGGCTGGTCTTGAACTCACGAACTCAAATGATCCACCTGCCTTGATCTCCCAAAGTGCTGGGATCACAGACATTGGCCACCACCCTGGCCCAAGAGGTGTTTTTTTTTTTGTTTTTGTTTTTTTTTTGAGATGGAGTCTCGCTCTGTTGCCCAGGCTGGAGTGCAGTATTGCAGTCCTGGCTCACTGTCACCTCCACTTCTGGGTTCAACCAATTCTCCTGCTTCAGCCTCCTGAGTAGCTGGGACTATAGGCATGTGCCACCACACCTGGCTAATTTTTGTATTTTTTGTAGAGACAGGGTTTCACCATACTGGCCAGGCTGGTATCGAACTCCTGACCTCATGATCCGCCTGCCTTGGCCTCCCAAAGTGCTGGGATTACAGGTGTGAGCCACCATATCTGGACTTTGTGTGTGTGTGTGTGTGTGTGTGTGTGTGTGTGTGAGACAAGGTCTTGCTCTGTTGCCCAGGCAGGAGTGGAGTGGTTCAATCAGGACTCACTGCAGCCTTGACCTCCTGGGCTCAAGTGATCCTCCTGCCTTAGCCTCCGGAGTAGCTGGGACTATAGATGTGCACCACCACAACTGGCCAATGTTTTGATTTTTTTTTGGAGAGTCAAGGTGTCACTCTGTTAGCCTGGGCTGGTCTTGAACTCCTGGACTCAAGCAATCCTCCCACCTCCACCTCCCAAAATGCTGGGATTACAGGCATGAGCTACTGCACCTGGAGGCCTGGGTTCAAATCTCAGTAAGCTAGAACCCTGTAAGACCTTGGGGAAATAACTGCCCTTCTGTGAGCCTCAGTTTCCACTTCTGCAAAATGGGAACATAGTGGTTGGAAGGGAAGATGTTTACGTGTCCAGGAGGGGAGCAACTCACTCAGATCTGTTTTAGGAAGGTCCCACTAGGTTTGAAGAGGAAGGGGTGCTGAGAGAGGGGACTGGGGAGGTGCCGAGAGGATGGCCACGGAGGGGGAGGACCCGGAGACCAAGCAGGGTGGTCAGAGAGACATGAGGACAGCCAGCATTATGCATCGAAAAGGGACAGATATCGGCCAGGTGCGGTGGCTCACGTCTATAATTCCAGCACTTTGGGAGGCCGAGGTGGGAGGATCACCTGAGGTCAGGAGTTTCAGACCAGCCTGGCCAACATGGTGAAATCCCATCTCTACTGAAAATACAAAATGTAGCTGGAGGGTTGGTAGGCGCCTGTAATCCCAGCTACTTGGGAAGCTGAGGTAGGAGAATTGGTTTGAACCCGAGAGGCAGAGGTTGCAGTGAGCTGAGACCCCACCGCTGCACTCCATTCAGCCTGGGCGACAGAGGGAGGCTCCACTGTGTGACAGAAAAAGAAAAAAAAAAAAAAAAAGAACAGACCTCCCCAAGCAGGTGGAAGCATGGAGGACTGGGAAGGGCCTGTCTGGTGCCCGGGTAGCCCTTGCGATCACACATAAAACAAGCTCTCCACGATCCAGGGGGCCCAGCCTGAGCCTCCCCTCCACCCAGATTCCCGGGGCCACCCAGCCACGCACCTCCTCCCCGGGGCCGCCCAGAAGGGCCTTGGCTCTGGCCATATCCGCAGCCTCCACCTTGATGAGCCGGTGCTTGGGAGAGCCATACGTGGCATCTCCGGCGTTCTTGGAGTCCCCGGGGCCCGCTGGGTCCTGCTCCAAGCGGCCCTCCGCGTCCTCATAGGGGTCCTCGAAGTCCAGGTTCTTTTGCTCCCGGTAGGCCCTCAGGATGTCGCTCTCGGTGTAGTCCGGGGTGGGCGGCTGCGGAGGGGGCCTCCGACCGCCAAAGCTCAGGTAGTCCCGTAGCCACTTGGCCATTTGGGCGCCTGCCACCCCCAATCCGGCCACTGTCACAGGGGCCCCCACATGCGCTTGTCCGGGCCCCTTTCCCCAGGGAGGAGGAAAAGGAGGAGGAGGAGGAGAGGAAGAGCAGGGAAAGAGGAGAAAGATCAGGTGCGCCCTTTGGCGGAGCTCTGGATGGATAGAGGGAAGGAAAAGGTGAAGGAGGGGGAGGAAAATGAGGCGACGGAGGAGGGAGGAGGACAAGCCCACCTTAGCCCGGCTGGGGAAGCACCGCGGGGGAAGGGGGCGCCCCGCAGGGCCCTGAACGCCGCGCGCTAGGGGCCAGGGCGAGGGGCATCCGCGGAGGCGCGCGGAGTTTTCGCGGGCAGCGCGGTTCCCCGGCGCGGCTCGGACGCTCGCCGCCTCGGGGAAGCTCCGGGATCCCTTCCTGGGGTCCGGAGACCCGGCCAGCGCCGCCTGCGGACGATCCCGGCCCCTCGCCCAGCCCGGACGCCTGGGTTCTCAGAGCAGCGGGCGGGCTCCCCAGGGGAGCGGGCTTTGCACGCAAAGTTGGGGCGCGGAGACGGTGACCCCGGCGGGACGCATCCTTTGTCGCGCTCCTCTCGGCTCAGCGGGGAGCCCCAATCCCGCGGCCCCCGGCCGGGCCGCCTCGATCCGGCCCCAGCCACCCGCACAAAGGGAAATAAAAACCTCCTCCAATCCCCCTTCACGCTTTAGGAGAGACTTTCCCCGCCGCCGCCGGCGCGCGGCCGGGAGGTGGGACGCTGGGGAGGGGGCGCGCGGGAGGACGCCCCGGTTCCCACCCGCCCCGGGCCGCGTCCCGGGCAGCAGCGTCAGGGCTCCCCCGCCTCCCCTCGGCCGCGTCCCCCGCCCGTCCCCTCCCCCTGCGCTCCCCTCGGAGGTGACAGAGACCTTCAGCTGTTCTGGGGAGGGAGGGAGCCGCTGCCCGCGGAGGGAAGCGGACCCGGGGGCCGGAGTTTCCGGGGCCGAGGCCGCGGCAGCTGGACACTGACCCGGACGCCCGAGACTGGCCGCAGCGAGCGCGGAGCGCGGGAGGTGGGGATCGGCTGGGAGGGACACAGCTGGGGAGGGGAGAAGGAGGGGAGGGGAGGGGGTGAGGGAGGGGAGGGGAGGGGGAAATTGACCGGGAAATGGGGGACTGGACTTGACCGCCAGAAGGGGTGAAATTGACCAGTAGAGGGAGTGGGAATGGCCACCACGGAGGGTCGAAATGGAACAGATGTCTGGCGGTGAAACTGACCGGGAGAGTGGGGGTGTGGACATTGGAGAGGTCACTGGCTGAAATTTATATTGACTCAGCGAGAAGGAGGACCGGGGCAAAGGAAGGGAGGTTGGGGATCGGCCCTCCCCTCCCCCAAGAGAGCTCCGCTCTGTCCCCCACCTCCCCAGGGGACTAGTCTCGGGCAGGGGGAGGGTTGGGGGCAGCTGGCCTGGGGAAGGGAGATGGTATCTGTGTCTGGAGCCTGTCCTCGGCATCTGTCCTTTTGTGGCCTTCTGGGTGGGGGTGGGGGCGGGAAGAGGGGCAGAAGTGAGAGGGGTCTGGCCTGTCCCGGCCGCCTGTTGTCAGCTGCCGTTGTCTGAGGGTGAGAGTGAGAGATTTAGGGGCTGGGAGAGGAAACGGGGGCCACTGGCCAATTTTCCAGGGCAGAACCGTTTTTTTTTTTCTTTCCCCAGGAGGGGGCTTGCCCAGTTCCCCCCCTCACTCCAGTCATTAGGGGGAAGGATGGGACCCCAGATTCTCTCCTCTTGTGGCCAGCCTCCTGGTTAGGCACGGGTCATAGCTTGGAGGGGACAGATGGAGGACAAGAAAGAAGTCAGAACCAACGCTGCTATGATGGCCTCGTGGCAGGCCGGTGGAGCTGGGGGCAGGGTCTGTCACTCCTCGCTGAGTCTTGGCTTACTTATTTGAAAGATGTGGTTTCTACCACGAAAACCCAGACAGCTCGAGGAAGGATCCCAGGAGACAGCAAGTTATCACCCAGCTTCCTCATTTTACAGATGGGGAAACTGAGGCATCAGCCGGGAGGGACTTGTTCAGAGCCACTCCGCAGCTCATTCTGCCTGGACATCGCCATGGGGCCTGGCCTAGGTAGCAATGGAGTCTCTTTTTTTTGGAGGGGGGACAAAGTCTACTCTGTCGCCCAGGCTGGAGTTCAGTGGCCCCATCTCCGCTCACCGCAAACTCCGCCTTCTAGATTCAAGCAATTCTCCTGCCTCAGCCTCCTAAGTAGCTGGGGTTACAGGCACCCCCCACCATACCCGGTTAATTTTTGTATTTTCAGTAGAGACAGCGTTTGATCATGTTGCCCAGGCTGGTCTCCAACTCCTGACCTCAGGTGATCCACCCACCTCGGCCTCCCAAAGTGCTGGGATTACAGGTGTGAGCCACCGCGCCCGGCCTGGTGTCTATTCATGGAATCAGCTCTGCAACTCCTCTCCATGATGAGCTCCATTTTCCAGATGGGGAAACTGAGGCCTGGAGCAAACAAAGCAAAGCCCCTGAAAGCTGCAGGCGTCTAGACCCTTACCCATCTGTCCTTCCCTTCCCCGTACTGACGGCGTCCCCCAACACAAACCTGTTGAACTCCCTCCTCCTTCCCGAAGAGCACGGCCACCCCCCTCCCCGCTTCCACCCCACCCTTTCCTATCCGTGTTCATCGGTGACAAGGCTGCATCCCCTTGAGGCAGCCAGGGAGCACAGCGGGTAATTGTCCTGCTTTCTGTCAGCCGCTAGGCAATTTCAGGGCGCCGGGATGAGCTGTTGACAGATCTCATCAAATCCAAGTCGTCTCCCTGCCGGATAAAACTAGATGTCTGAGGTATAAATATTTGAAAGGGGCCTTCTAATTACAGTCTGTGTCAGGAATAGCAATTAGAGGCCCCGGGGCCAGAATCAAACGGCATTTGACTTTCCTATGCTTTGGAGCTGGCTTCTCCTGGGGCTTCCCCCTCACCCCACCCCGAGGAGGGGAGTAGAGAGACACTGGCAGGGAGGGGCAGGAGGAGGTGGAGGAGAAACAGATCCAGGCTGGAGGTCCTGCGACCTTTAATCAGCCATATAAACTCGTGAGGTTTGGTTTTTGTTTTTTTTTTTTTTTGAGACAGGGTCTCACTTTGTTGCCCAGGCTGGAGTGAGTGTTGCAATCACAGCTCGCTGCAGCCTCAACATCCCGGGCTCAAGCAATCCTCCCATCTCAGCCTCCTAGTAGCTAGGACTACAGGTGCGAACCAGCACGCCTGGCTAAATTTTTTATGGAGACAGGGTCGCGCTGTTTCCCGGGCTGTTCTTGAACTCCTGTCTTCAGGTGATCCTCCCACCTCTCAAAGCGCTGGAAGTGTAATCCCAGCACTTGGGCCTCCCAGAATGCTGGGACTACAGGCCTGAGACACCACGCCCAGCTATGAACTTTGAATTTCTGACCAGGAGAGGAGGGAAAGCAGGGAGGGCTACCAGGAGGTGGGCACAGAGTGGGTAATAACAAGGAGGTGGGCTGGGCCTCGGGACCCTCCTTCCCTGGCATTCAGGGTCAGAGAGGCAGCTGATGGGGGGCTCCTCCAGGGTGCGTGGGGACCAGGGAACTATCTGGAGATTCTCCCGGGTTCCAGAATCCCAGCCTGTCAAGACGCTGGCTGATGACGGAGGTTTGTTTTCTCACCTGGTTAATGAGCGAGTAACAGCTCACCCCTGTTCAGCGCTTCCGGCCAGGCACTGATTTTGGTTCTTTTTGTTTTGTTTTGTTGCTTTTTGGTTCTTTGTTTTTGAGGCCGAGTCTAGCTAGCTCTGTCGCCCAGGGTGGATGGCACAGGCACAATCTCGGCTCACTGCAACCTCTGCCTCCCAGGTTCAAACGATTCTCCTGCCTCAGCCTCCTGAATAGCTGGGATTACAGGCATGTGCCACCATGCCCGGCTAATTTTTATATTTTTAGGAAAGACCAGGTTTCACCATGTTGGCCAGGTTGGTCTTGAACTCCTGACCTTGTGATCCGCCCGCATCAGCCCCACAAAGTGCTGAGATTAGAGGCTTGAGCCACCGTGCCTGGCCTTGTTGCTTTTTTTTTTTTTTTTTTTTTTTTTGAGATGTAATTCACACTGGCCAGGTGCAGTGACTCATGCCTGTAATGCCAGCACTTTGGGAGGCTGAGGTGGACGGATGACCTGAGTTCAAGAGCTCGGGACCAGCCTGCCCATCACGGTGAAACCCCGCCTCTACTAAAAATACAAAAATTAGCCGGGCGTGGTGATGAGTTCCTCTAATCCCAGCTACTCAGGAGGCTGAGGAAGGAAAGTCACTTGAACCCACGAGGTGGAGGTTGCAACGAGCCGAGATTGTGCCACTGCACTCCAGCCTGGGTGACAGAAAGAGACTCCTTTTCAAAAAAAAACCCCAAAAACATAATTCACAGATCCTACAATTCACCCATTCACAGTGTACAATTTAGTGGCTTTTAGTGTGCCCACAAGGTTGTGCGACCATCACTGCTGTGTAATTCCTGAACTTTTCCCACACCCCACAAGGAAACCTCAGACCCACTTAGCTGTCACTTCCCATCTCTCCAAATCCTCGGCTCCTGGTAACCACAAATCCACTTCCTGTCTCTATGGAGGAGCCTGTCCTGGACAGGATCATACACTGTGTGGCCTTCTGTGTCTGGCGTCTCTGACTGAGCTTGATGTCCTCAAGATGCATCCATGCTTGGGGGGCCGAGGTGAGTGGATCACTTGAGGTCAGGAGTTCAAGACTAGCCTGGCCAACATGGTGAAACCCCATCTCTTAAAAAAAAAAAAAAAAAAAAAAAAAAAAAAAGACCATCCACGCTGGGGCCCATACTTTTTTTTTTTTTTTTTTTTTGAGACAGAGCTTCCCCTCTTGTTACCCAGGCTGGAGTGCAATGGTCAATCTTGGCTCACCGCAACCTCTGTCTCCCGGGTTCAAGCAATTTTCCTGCCTCAGCCTCCAGAGTAGGTGGAATCAGCCATGCATGACCACGGCCAACTAGTTTTTGTAGTTTTTTTTTTTTTTTTGAGATGGAGTCTCACTTCTTCACCTGGCTGGTGTGCAGTGGCATGATCTTGGCTGACTGCAACCTTTGCTGCCTGGGTTCAAGTAATTCTCCTGCCTCAGCCTCCAGAGTAGCTGGGAATACACACGCCTGCCACCGTGCCTGGCTACTTTTTGTAGTTTTGTTTTTGTTTTTTGTTTTGTTTGAGATGGAGTTTCGCTCTTGTTACCCAGGCTGGAGTGCAATGGCGCGATCTCGGCTCACCGCAACCTCCACCTCCTGGGTTCAGGCAATTCTCCTGCCTCAGCCTCCTGAGTAGCTGGGATTACAGGCATGCACCCCCATGCCCAGCTAATTTTTTGTATTTTTAGTAGAGATGGGGTTTCACCATGTTGACCAGGATGGTCTCGATCTCTTGACCTCATGATCCACCCGCCTCGGCCTCCCAAAGTGCTGGGATTACAGGCTTGAGCCACCGCGCCCGGCCAATTTTTGTAGTTTTAGTAGAGACAAGCTCTCACTAACTTGTCTCACATCAGACAAGTTCCCAGTCTGATGGGGGAGGCAAGGTTCAACTTTCAAAGGCCCCCTGTCTAACGGAGGAGACGTAGGCCTTTCTTCAAGGGTCCCCAGTCTGATGAGGGAGGCAGAGTCCAGACGGCATAAACTTCAAGGTCCTCAGTCCAACACAGGAGGCATGGCCCTAACTTACAAGGTCCCAGTCTGCTGGAGGAGACATGAGCCTTCCTTCTAAGGGTCCCCAGCTGATGGGGGAGGCACAGTGCAACCCTCCAAGGACTCCGCAGGCACAGCTGAGCTCCTGGACTTGCAGGGAGCCTGGTGGCGAAAGGCGTATCCTTGGAGCCTTGAGATTCAAAACCAGGCCCTGTCCTTCCCTCACCCTGGAGGTCGGGGAGCCTCCTTTATCTGCAAATGGGACAGCGACAGAGCGTGTGCCCCGGGGGGTGTTTCTGGATGTAGTGTCACCCCATTCCCAGATAAGGAAACAGGCTCAGGGAGCCCCACAGTGAAGCTGGACCTGGCAAACACCGGGGAAATGGCGTGGCCCTTCTTCTCCTGTAAGCCCAGGCTGGGGCAAGCAGCCGGCTCCAGCAGGAGAGGTCCCCACCGCCCCTCCTCCCCATCCCTCTGATGTGCTCCAGCAGCCAGGCAGCCCCGGAGGAGTTGATGGAGGAGAGCTGGATGAGGGCTGACAGCTCCCGAAGACAGGATGATAGAGGTGGGCTGGTGGGGAACGGGTGCTTTTGGCAGGATGGGGGAAGGGCAGGCTTCAGAGGGTGAGGGAAGGGGCCCCGGGCGGTGGGGCAGGGCAGGGAGGGGTCCCCCAGCCGATCAGCAGGGACACAGCCTGATGCATGGCTGTGCCCGCTCTTCTACTCCCTCAGCCCTGGGAACCCCCCCGGAGGGAACTGGGGGCCAAGAGCAGAACTGCCTCCTAAACACAGGGTGAGAGAACAAAGCTTCCCGGGAAAAAAAAGAAAAAAAAAAATTTCAGTAGCATATGAAAGCGTGGGTGTGTGGCGGGAGGGAGAAGGCGAAACCTGGGGCTCCCTGAGCCCATTTTCTCACTGGGGACTGAGGTGATGACCATTCAGCCCCTTTGTGAGCACCCACAACATGCTGGATGGTTTTGGGGTGCTGGGATGCAGGCACCAATTTTTTTGAGATGGAGTCTCACTGTTGCCCAAGCTGGATGGAGTGCAACGGTGCGATCTTGGCTCACTGCAACCTCCGCCTCTCGGGTTCAGGTGATTCTCCTGCCTCAGCCTCCTGAGTAGCTGGGATTACAGATGCCTGCTACCATGCTTGGGTAATTTTTGTATTTTTAGTAGAGGCGGGGTTTCACCATGTTGGCCAGGCTGGTCTGAACTCCTGACCTCAGGTGATCCACCTGCCTCGGCCTCCCAAAGTGCTGGGATTACATGCATGAGCCACTGTGCCTGGCCCCAATAAACTTCTATTGTGTATGATTTACCCAGTCTATGGTCTGTGAAAGCAGCAGCAAACAGACAAATACACAGGCTGCTGGCAAGGTCTGTGCAGGTAAGAAACTGAGAGTGTCTTCTGGCCAACAGCTGTGAGGGGCTGAATGCTGTCAACAACCGCAAAGGTTTGGAAGCAGGTCCTTCCCCAGCTGAGCCTTCAGATGACACCCCAGCCCAGGCCTCAGCCTCAGCATCCCAAGTAGCTGGGATTACAGGCACACACCACCACACCCAGCTAATTTTTGAAAAAAATTTTTTTTTTGAGTCAGTCTCTTGCTCTGCCATCCAGGCTGGAGTGCAGTGGCACGATCTCAGCTCACTGCAACCTCTGACTCCCAGGTTCAGGTGATTCTCTTGCCTCAGCCTCCCAAGTAGCTGGGATCACAGGTGACTGCCACACCACCTGGGTGTTTTTTTTTTTTTTTTTTTTTTTTTTTGAGACAGAGTTTTGCTCTAGTTACCCAGGCTGGAGTGCAATGGCGCGATCTTGGCTCACCACAACCTCCGCCACCTGGGTTCAGGTAATTCTCCTGCCTCAGCCTCCTGAGTAGCTGGGATTACAGGCATGTGCCACCATGCCCAGCTACTCTTTTGTATTTTTAGTAGAGACAGGGTTTCACCATGTTGACCAGGATGGTCTGGATCTCTTGACCTCGTGATCCACCCACCTCGGCCTCCCAAAGAGCTGGGATTACAGGCATGAGCCACTGCGCCCGGCCTGTAGAATGTTAGAAAAAGAACACTATGGGCCGGGCATGGTGGCTCATGCCTGTAATCCCAGCTCTTTGGAAGACCAAGGCAGGCGGATCACCTGAGGTGGGGGGTTCAAGACCAGCCTGGCCAACATGGTGAAACCCCGTCTTTAAAAAATAAAAAATGCCCGGGCGCGGTGGCTCAAGCCTGTAATCTCAGCACTTTGGGAGACCAAGGCAGGTGGATCATGAGGTCAAGAGATCGAGACCATCCTGGTCAACATGTTGAAACCCCGTCTCTACTAAAAATGCAAAAAATCGGCCGGGCGCGGTGGCTCAAGCCTGTAATCCCAGCACTTTGGGAGGCCGAGGCGGGTGGATCACGAGGTCGAGGGATTGAGACCATCCTGGTCAATATGGTGAAACCCCGTCTCTACTAAAAATGCAAAAAATTAGCTGGGCATGGTGGCACGTGCCTGTAATCCCAGCTACTCAGGAGGCTGAGGCAGGAGAATTGCCTGAACCCAGGAGGCGGAGGTTGCGGTGAGCCGAGATGCGCCATTGCACTCCAGCCTGGGTAACAAGAGCGAAACTCCGTTTCAAAAAAAAAAAAAAAAATGCAAAAAATCAGCTGGGCATGGTGGCGCGTGCCTGTAATCCCAGCTACTCAGGAGGCTGAGGCAGGAGAATTGCCTGAACCCAGGAGGCGGAGGTTGCGGTGAGCCGAGACTGCGTCATTGCACTCCAGCCTGGGTAACAAGAGCGAAACTCCATCCCCAAAAAAATAAAAATAAAAAATAAAATAAAAAGAACACTATGAATCGTCTTTGAGTAGGCAGTTCCATTCCTGGCTGTGTATTCTGAAGAGGTATTTGCCCACATTCATAAGGACACACCCATTAGGAAGTTTGTTGTGACACTGTATTTAGTAGCAAAATTATGGGGAAGGGACCCAATGTCCTCAGTATGGGAAGGCTGACCTCTGGCATAAATAATGGAATGGTATGCTGTGCTTAAAAGGCCCAGACTCCAGCTGGGTGTGGTGGCTCACACCTGGAATCCTGGCACTTTGGGAGGCCAAGTCGGGAGGACTGTTCGAGGGCAAAAGTTTGAGACCAGCCTGAGCAACAGAGTGAGACTCTTTCTCTACAAAAAAAATTTAAAAAATCAGGCAGGTGTGGTGGCTCTGCCTCTAGTCCCCGCTACTAGGGAGGCTGAGGTGGGAGGATCACTTGAGCCAGGGAAATTGAGGCTGCAGTGAGCTGTGACTGTACCACTGCACTCCAGCCTTGGGGAGAGAGCAAGATCCTGCCTGAAAGAAAAAAAAAAGCCTCAGCCCAGAACAGGAACTGTGGCATGTGCCTGTAATCCCAGGACTCTGGGGGCCGAGGCAGGTGGGCTGGTTGAAGACAGGAGATTGAGTCCAGACTGGGTGACATGGGCAGACCCTGCTTCTCAATTGAGTTTTTTTTTAAGATGGAATCTCACTCTGTCGCCCAGGCTGGAGTGTAGTGGTGTGATCTTGTCTCCTGCAGCCTCAGTCTCCCAGGTTCAAGCGATTCTCCTGCCTCAGCCTCCTGAGTAGCTGGGACTACAGGCGCACACCACGACGCCTGGCTAATTTTTGTATTTTAGTAGAGATGCGGTTTCACCATGTTGGCCAGGCTGGTCTCAAACTCCTGACCTCGTGATCCGCCCGCCTGGGCCTCCCAAAGTTTTGCAATTACAGGCGTGAGCCATCACACCGGGCCTCAATTTGTTTTTTAAAAGAAAGAAAAAAAAAAGAAGAGAAAAGAAAAATGCCCAGACCATAAGCCTCGGCACATTTGGGCAACAACTAAATCAAAATCTGGGTCAGGCCCAGTGGCTCATGCCTGTGACCCCAGCACTTTGGGAGGCTGAGGCGGGTGGATCACGAGGTCAAGAGATCGAGACCATCCTGGTCAACATGGTGAAACCCTGTCTCTACTAAAAATACAAAAATTAGCTGGGCATGGTGGTGCACGCCTGTAGTCCCAGCTACTAGGGAGGCTGAGGCAGGAGAATTGCTTGAACCCAGGAGGTGGAGGTTGCGGTGAGCCGAGATCGCGCCATTGCACTCCAGGTTGGGTAACAAGAGTGAAACTCCGTCTCAAAAAAAAAAAAAAAAAAAAAAAAGGCTCTGTGGGTGGGGCGCGGTGGCTCATGCCTGTAATCCCAGCACTTTGGGAGGCTGAGGCGGGTGGATCACGAGGTCAGGAGTTCAAGACCATCCTAGCTAACACAGTGAAAACCCCTCTCTACTAAAAATATAAAAATTAGCTGGGTGTGGTGGTGTGTGCCTGTAGTCCCAGTTACTCGGGAGGCTGAGACACAATTGCTTGAATCCAGGAGGCGAGGTTGCAGTGAGCCGAGATTGCACCACTGCACTCCAGCCTGCATAACAGAGCAAGGCTCTGTCTCAAAGAAAAAAAAAAAAAAGCCTGTGTGGACTAACCCTGCAATGATGCGAACAGAAGCCTTGCCCTGGGCTGCCTCCTCAGACTCCAGGAGAGAGACGGGGCCCGGGATGCTTGGCAGGTTTCCTTTTATTGGTTCCGACAGTTTGTGGAAAGACACGAGGCTGTCTAGAGGCTGGCAGGTCCACCCCATCCTCCAAACGCCGCCACCCTGAAGTAGTGATGGAAGCTGAGATTCCAGGGATGTCGCAGCCCTGAGCACAGTGACAGGTGGGGGCACGAGGGGCAGGGGTCCCCGATGTGTGGAGAGGCTGGTGAGGGCAGAGAAAAGCGACACCCTGGGGCTGACGCCCTTGCTGGCCCTATGCGTCTGGAGCACGCTGGCGCCTGTCCTTCGGGGCTCCGGTCACGCCCAAGCCTCCTGCCCCGACCACCAGCAACGCTGGCCTCGATGTGCCGGAGCTGGTCTTGCAGCCTGACCCGGTGCGGGGGTCCTAGGACGGCTCAGTTGCTACCGTTGCTGTCGTCACTGTCCAGGTACGCGCCCAGCTGGCTCAGGGAGGACGTGCCAGGCGTCGGGGGCGCAGGGTCAGCCTCCTTCCTGCTCTGTGGGGGTCCTGGGGGGAGAGTGAGAGTTAGCCCATCTCAGCTCCAGACTGGACAGGCCAGGGACAAGGCCTGGAGCACGGGGCTGGCCACCTCCACGGGTTTGCAAGGCCCAAGGGTGACGGCATGCAAATGGCCCAGCCTTTCCGGATGGTGCCTGATGGGACCCATCACAGAGTAACATCCGCACACGCTGGACCTGACAGCTCCGCTTCTGAATGATGACCCATGGAAGCCCCTGCTGAGGCAGGCAGCACGCACTGCAAAAACTGGAAATGGCGCCAAGTACAAAGTCCAGTCACTGCGGACCTAACCGCCCTAGGAAAAGTCCCACTAAGGCAATTAAGAGGGGCAGATTCTATGCCTGGCTGTGAAAGCCACTCTGACCCTCAGTCTCTTCCTCTGACAAATGGGATAATTGTGGAGGGGGAACCCTGCCAGTGCCATGGCAAGGATCTGAAGCTTCAGCCTGTTCCCATAGAAATACTGATTTAGAAAAGAATTAGAGCCGGGTGCGGTGGCTCAAGCCTGTAATCCCAGCACTTTGGGAGGCCAAGGCGGGTGGATCACGAGGTCGAGAGATCGAGACCATCCTGGTCAACATGGTGAAACCCCGTCTCTACTAAAAATACAAAAAAATTAGCTGGGCATGGTGGCGCGTGCCTGTAATCCCAGCTACTCAGGAGGCTGAGGCAGGAGAATTGCTTGAACCCAGCAGGCGGAGGTTGCGGTGAGCCGAGATTGCGCCATTGCACTCCAGCCTGGGTAACAAGAGTGAAACTCCATCTCAAAAAAAAAAAAAAAAAAGAAAAGAATTAGAAATGTAGGCACATAGTTATTCCTTTATATTATCATCTATAATCCTATAGTTACTCACTTATAATCATAAAGACATATACTCAATATAACCCTTCATTTTACTAACGATTATTGGGTTAAGAAGCATGGATCTGAGGTGACAGTGTGAACAAAGTGACCCCAAGGCAAGATGCTCTAAGCCCCCGTCACGCCTGCATAAGGGCTGCTGGAGGGTGCCTCGGCTGTGCGGGAGCGCCGGCACTGGGAAAGCGCCCGCTGGTTAGCCAGCTACGGAAGACCTCTAAAATCTCCTCGCCTCAGCTACTTGCAAGTCCTGGACGCTTGTCTCCAAGACACGTGATTTACCTGACCCTATCACCGACCACCATTACCTCAGCCTACCTTCCCTGCCCACTGCCTGCACTCAGGAGTGTCCAGGCACTCGGGGTGACTGCTGGACTCCGCGCTTTGGCTGGCAGTGGACCCCCGGGCCCAAACTCTCTTTTCTCTTTCTTGGTGTCTCATGGGTTTTATTTCCAGTTTCTCATCTCCACACCAGCAGAGAGGGGCTCACAGGACCCGGCAGGGCTGGACCCTACAGAAAAGTTTTTTTTTTTTTGAGATGGAGTCTTGCTCTGTCACCCAGTCTGGAGTGCAATGGCGTCATCTTGGTTAATGCAACCTCTGCCTCTGGGGTTGAAGCGATTCTTCTGTCTCAGCCTCCCACATAGCTGGGATTACAAGCGCATGCCACTGTATCTGGCTGATTTTTGTATTTTAAATAGAGATGGGGTTTCACCATGTTGGCCAGGCTGGTCTTGAACTCCCGATCTCAGGTGATCCGCCCTCCTCAGCCTCCCAAAGTGCTGGAATTACAAGCGTGAGCCACTGCGTCTGGCCAATTTTTTTTTTTTTTTTGAGATGGAGTCTTGCTCTGTCACCCAGGCTGGAGTGCACTGGTGCGATCTCGGCTCACTGCAACCTCCACCTCCCGGGTTCAAGGAATTCTCCTGCCTCAGCCTCCCAAGTAGCTGGGATTATAGGCACTTGCCACCGTGCCCAGCTAATTTTTGTATTTTTTAGAGATGGAGGTTGCACCATGTTGGCCAGGCTGGTCTTGAACTCCTGACCTTAAGTGATCCACCCGCCTTGGCCTCCCAAAGTGTTGTGATTACAGGCGTGAGCCACCGCGCTTGTCCAAATGGCATAATTTTTATCAGTACTGACAAAAATGTCTCAAGCGTCTCCAAGGCTCGCCATGTGCCAGGGTCTACTCAATTGCCAGCACTCACAGAATCAACCCAAACCTGGGACTGATCCCACCTACGTGAGGTGGGTCCCCTTAGCTGCATTTTACAGGACAGGACATTGGGACCCTGCTGGGGGGGGAGTTCTCAGCCAAGGCCACAGGACAAGCAAATGGAAATTGGAGGGACCTGCCGCTGGCTGCTCCGCTCCGAATTCTGGCAATGCTGACCGCACCCCAATCCTCCATCCACCCGGGGCTGGGGGTGTGGGGCTCTCACCCCTGCAGAGCACCAGGTATGTGACGGCAGAGATGTGCATGCCTTAGAGACAGCCCGGGAGGGGGACGGGGCAGCCTGGCATCTGTGGACAGCGAAGGCCGTGTAGGGAAGCGCAGATTTGACATTTATTTTACACACTCCCACGTGACTTGGGTTTTAAAAGCAAGCACTGGCTCCTTTTGTAAATAAAAGACAAAAAGAAGCCGCCTGACTTCTCTACTCATGCCACTAATTGGTTCTGTGGGGCTCGGATGCTGCCCCCAACCCACCCGACGAAGGCTCCCTAATTGCACTGGGAGCACTGCTGCCACCTAGAGGCCATGATAGAAACCGCGCCCAGCTCTGGAAACTCAGTGACCTTACCTGGGGCTGGGGCCGCCTGGAGCTGCCCGTTGCTGTGGTCCGGGTCAGCCTTTGCCTTCTTCACCACGACCAGCCCTGACAGCGGGGGCCGGCTGCCCAGGCTACCAATGCTCTGCTCCCAGACTTCCACCTTCCTCTTGGGCTTTGGGGCCTGTAGGTGATAAGGACATGTGAGGGGGTCGGGCCCCTCTGCCCCCAACTCCTGCTCACTGCCCCACTGACCACATTCCTCTTCTGCTCTAAACTCCTCTATGGCTCCCCACGGCCCTAGGCTAGGCACTAAAAGCCTCTACCCATTCTCCATCCCACATAACCTGGTCTGGCACTTCCTGAATCACACTGTAGCTTCTCGTTTTCATGCCTTTACCCATGCTATTCCCTTCACCAGGGGTGTCCCCTTTTCCACACACTCGCTTGGTGAACACCTACCCGCCCTTCAATACCCAACGTAAAACACCCCTCCTCTGAGAAGCCCATCATGATTCAAGCTCACATGCAGGTTGGATATCCATGCTCACTGTGCCCTCTGCTGGCTGTTGTAACTCTCTCCCTAACTCACTGTGAGCCCGTCTTCCCCACTGCTGGTTCTGTAGTGTCACAAACAGTTCTCAGCCCAAGAAGGTGCTTAATCGATGTACTTGAGGGAACAAGTGAAAATGGAGGCCGCTTTGAGGAAGAGTTAGGGACACTCTGCTTTGAGGAAGAGTTAGGGACAGGCAGAAAAGGGTCAGCACAACCTCCGGCTCCCAAATTGCAACGGAAGGGCCTCTTTAATCTATTTTATTTATTAAAAAAAAAATTTTTTTTGAGGGAGTCTCACTCTATTGCCCGGGTTGGAGTGCAGTGCTGCAATCACAGCTCACTGCAGCCTTGAACTCCTGGGCTCAAGCGATCCTCCTGTCTCAGCCTCCTGCAGGAGCACGTCACCATGGCAGGCTAACATTTTTATTTTTCATAGAGATAGGGTCTCACTGTGTTGCCCAGGCTGGTCTCGAACTCCTGGCTCAAGCAATCCTCCCATCTCAGTGTCCCAAAGAGCTGGATGACAGGCGTGAGCCAGACGGAGTCTCATTCTGTCACTCAGGCTGAGTGACCTCTGCTCACTGCAACCTCCGCCTCTCAGGTTCAAGAAATTCTCCTGCCCCAGCCTCCCAAGTAGCTGGGAGTATAGGCACCCACCACCACGCCCACCTAATTTTTGTATTTTTAATAGCGATGGGGTTTCACCATGTTAGCCAGGCTGGTCTTGAACTGTTTCAAGTTCTGTGTTTAATCAGAGTAACTGTGTTACTCTGTTTTATGTTTAAATAGAGGAAGTGGTAGCCACCAGGTTAAGGAAGTCCTGGTGGGTGCTCTGCCCTCATGGAGCTCACCATGTGGGGAGAGAGAGGGACAAGGAGACCAGTACCCAAGACAACATCCATCTGGGTGAGAGTGAAGCCAGGGCACGTGAGCTTGAACTGTGAGGATGAGTTTCTCGGAGGAAGGGTGTCTTGCACTGGGTACTGAAGGGTGAGTAGGAGTTCACCAAGCGAAGGGGGCATCCCAGGTAAAGGAGATGGCATGGGTAAAGGCGTGGAGATGAGAAGCCACAGTGTGATTCAGGAAGTGCCAGGGCAGCGCATATGAAGGACGGAGAAAAGAGTGGCTTTCAGTGTCCAGCTGAGGGTTGGGGGACGGTGGCCACTGTGAAGGTGTCTGAGAGGCCTCCTTCAAGTCGTGGCTCTGGACTGACTTCAGAATGAGGAAAAGACGTTAAAGGCACAGACGGCCAGGTGCAGTGGCTCATGCCTATCATCCCAACACTTTGGGAGGCCGAGGTGGGTGGATCACTTGAGGTCAGGAGTTTGAGACCAGCCTGGCCAACACGGGGAAATCCTGTCTCTACTAAAAAGAAAATATAAAAATTAGCCAGGTGTGGTAGCACACGCCTGTAATCCCAGCTACTCAGGAGGCTGAGGCAGAATTCCTTTAGCCTGGGAGGCGGAGGTTGCAATGAGCCAAGATTGCGCCACTGGACTCCAGCCTGGGTGACAGAGTAAGACCCTGTCTCACGGAGAAAAAAAAAAAAAAAGGTGACATGGGTTAGTTCCAGAAACTTTTTTTTTTTTGAGATGAAGTCTCACTCTTGTCACCCAGGCAAGAGTGCAGTGGTGTGATCTCAGGTCACTGCAACCTCCACCTCCCCAGTTCAAGCAATTCTTCTGCCTCAGCCTCCTGAGTAGCTGAGATTACAGGCACCCACCACCATGCCTGACTAATTTTTGTACTTTTAGCAGAGACAAGGTTTCGCAATGTTGGCCAGGCTGGTCTCGAACTCCTGACCTCACGTGATCCACCACGCCCGGCCAGTTCCCAAAACTTTCTACCGGTGGTACTCATCATCGTTAAACTGAACTAAGGATTGGGAGGCCAAGGTAGGAGGATTGCTTGAGGCCAGAAGTTTGAGACCAGCCTGAGCAACATACAGACTAGTCTTTTTTTAAAAAAAAAAAAAGAGCGCCGGGCGCGGTGGCTCAAGCCTGTAATCCCAGCACTTTGGGAGGCTGAGGCGGGTGGATCACGAGGTCAAGAGATCGAGACCATCCTGGTCAACATGGTGAAACCCCGTCTCTACTAAAGGTGCAAAAAATTAGCTGGGCATGGTGGCGCGTGCCTGTAATCCCAGCTACTCCGGAGGCTGAGGCAGGAGAATTGCCTGAACCCAGGAGGCAGAGGTTGCGGTGAGCCGAGATCGCGCCATTGCACTCCAGCCTGGGTAACGAGCGAAACTCCGTCTCAAAAATAAAAAAAAAATAAAAAAAAATAAAAAAAAAAGAAAGAAAGAAAGAAAATAAAGAATGAGTGGGGCATGTTGGCATGCACCTGTGGTCCCAGCTACTCGGGAGGCTGAGGTGGATCATCTGAGCCCAGGAGGTGGAGGCTGCAGTGAGCTGTTACCATGTCACGGCACTCCAGCCTGGGTGACAGAGCGAGATCTCATCTGTAAGAGAAAAATAAAATAGCCGGGTGCGGTGGCGTGTGCCTGCAGTCCCAGCTATTCAGGAGGCCTAGGTGGGAGGATCGCTTGAGCCCAGGAGTTCTGGGCTGTAGTGCGCTATGCCGATCGGGTGTCTGCACTAAGTTTGGCATCAATATGGTGACCTCCCGGGAACGGGGGACCACGAGGTTGCCTAAGGAGCGGTGACCCGGCCCAGGTAGGAAACAGAGCAGGTCAAAACTCCCTGCTGATCAGTAGTGGGATCATGTCTGTGAATTGCCACTGTACTCTAGCCTGGGCAACATAGTGAGACCCTGTCTCTAAATAAATAAATACAAATTTAAAAAATAAATAAATAAAATGAAATAAACGAAGAAAATGCAAGTGTGGAGATACTGCTTCCTGTAGAAGTTAGGGTGAAGGTCTGAAAAGTCTGGATAAAGGTGTATCATGTAAAACCAAATAAAACACCTGCTGTCAAACCAGGTGCCAGCAAAAGACTGAGGGAAGAAATCATAAGAGGTTGGACTGTTTTCAAAGCAGCTTCACTCTCTTGATTCACTTTTTTAAAACAGAGAGGTCGTTGTAGACAATGAATTCTGGGAGTGGTTTATGTAAGAACCACAGCGTGAGAACTCTAACCAGGGGATTCAGCTGCAAAGAAAATGTCTTTTAAAAACGTGTCTTGGGGTTTTTAAGACATGGTGGCTGATGCCTGTAATTCCTGTGCCTTTAGAGGCCAAGGCAGGAGAACTGCTTGATGCCAGGAGCTTGAGACCCGTCTGGGCAACACAGCAAGACCGCATCTCTGCAAAAGCAGTTTGAAAAACCAGGAGATGGGCGCTATGACTCACGCCTGTAATCCCATAATCCCAGCACTTTAGGCAGCCAAGGCAGGTGAATCACCTGAGGTCAGGAGTTCGAGACCCGTCTGGCCAACAAGGTGAAACCCCATCTCTACTAAAAATACAAAAATTAGCTAGGCATGGTGGCACGCACCTGTAATCCTGGCTACTTGGGAGGCTGAGGCTGAAGAATTGCTTGAACCCCGGAAGCGGAGGCTGCAGTGGGCCGAGATCCTGCCACTCTACTCCAGCCTGGGCAACAAGAGTGAAACTGTCTTAAAAAAAAAAAGGGGGGGGTCTAGGGCACAGTGGCTCACGCCTGTAATCCCAGCACTTTGGGAGGCCAGGGTGGGTGGATCAAGAGGTCAAGAGATGGAAACCATCCTGGCCAACATGGTAAAACCCCATCTCTACTAAAAATACAAAGAATTGCCAGGTGTGGGGGCAAGCGCCTGTAATCCCAGCTACTCAGGAGGCTGAGGCAGAAGAATCACTTAAACCCAGAAGGCGGAGGCTGCAGTGAGCTGAGATTGTACCACTGTACTTCAGCCAGGTGACAGAGCAAGACTCGTCTCAAAAAAAAGACAAGAAAAATCTGCCAGGCATAGTGGTGCGTGCCAGTGGTCCCAGCTACTCAGGAGACTGAGGTGGGAGGATTGCTTGAGTCCAGGAGGCTGAGGCTGCAGTGAGCTGGGACTGCACCGACACACTCCAGCCTGGACAACAGAGCAAGACCCTATGTCAAAAAAAGAAAAAAAAAAAACATTCATTTCTGGGTGTCTGTGTTATTGGTTTATGAGCCTCCACTTTAACTACTTTCTTCAGTCAACAAACCAGAGTGGCCGAGGCCACCCTGCATGAGTCAGCTGTGGCGGAAAATGCTGGTCACACCACTAAACTCCTTCCCTTCTTTTGTTTTCTTTTTTTAAGTCTCCCTCCGTTGCCCAGGCTGGAGTGCAGTGGCGCGATCTTGGCTCACTGCAACCTCCGCCTCCCAGGTTCAAGCAAATCTCTTGCCTCACCCTCCGGAGTAGCTGGGATTACAGGCATGTGCCACCACACATGGTTATTTTTGTTTTTAGTAGAGACAGAGGTTTCACTACGTTGGCCAGGCTGCTTGAAATCCTGACCTCAGGAGATCCACCCACCTCGGCGTCCCAAAGTGCTGGTGGCCTGGGCCACAGCGCGTGGCCTCCCTTTGTTCTAGTTAGCAGGACAGCCAGGCACAGGCCAGCTGGAGGATGCATCTCACAGCTTCCCTTGCAGCCACACGGGGCCTTGTGACTACGCTGTGGACTATGGCATGACAGAAGAATTGAGGTGGGCCACATCTGAGACTAGGTGGTCCTCCATACACCCTTTGCCTTCCCACAGCTGGGCGCTGAGGGTGCTCTGAGCCAGCTGTGACCACAGTGCAGGAAGCCGTGCTCCAGAAGGAAGGAGCCTGAATCCCTGAATGACTCCATGGAGCAGAGCCTCCTGGAAGTCCTAGACTGTCAGCCCAGGACTGTCATGTGATTGAGGAATCAAATTCTATGTTCTTTCTTTACATTCCCTTCTTTCAGCAGCTTAAACAGGGGTTGGCAAATTACGAACCCACAGCCTGCCACCTGCTTTATTTATTTATTTATTTATTTTTGAGACAAAGTCTCACTCTGTCATCCAGGCTGGGGTGCAAAGGCATGATCTTGACTCACTGCAAACTCCACCTTCTGGGTTCAAGCGATTCTCCTGCCTCAGCCTCCTGAGTAGCTGGGATTACAGGAGTGAGCCACTGCACTCAGCCGTAACTTTTGTTTATTTTAGACAGGGTTTCACTCTTTCTCAGGCTGGAGTTCGGTGGTACTGATACAGCTCACTGCAGCCTTGACCTTCTGGGCTCAAGTAATCTTCCTGCCTCACCCTCTCAAGTAGCACAACAACCCATGGCTAATTTTTGTTATTTTGTAAAGAAGGGGTCTAACTTTGTTGCCCAAGCTGTTCTCAAACTCCTGGTCTCAAGCCATCTTCCTGCCTTGGCTTCCCAAAATGCTGGGATTACAGGCATGAACCACTGCATCCGGCCTATAAATAAAGTTTTATTGGCACCATGCCATGTCCCCTTATTTACACCATCGTGGTTGTCCTGGGCTGTAGCTGCAGACTGGCCTTTTAAGAAAAAGTCAAGCAGACTCCTGGCTTCAGCTGTCCCTAGGTCAGCCGGGAGCCCCCAGGGACTCGGGCAGCCCCCCTTACCTCATCCAGGATGGCAGTGGGGTTGGGCCGAGGGGCCGGCTGGAGGGGCGCAGGAGCAGCCTCGTCCTCTGAGTCGGAGTCTTCCAGCAGTCTTCGTTTCCTGGATTCCTCCAACAGGGCCCTGTGGGATGGGAGACGGGAGCTTGGACATGCTCTGCACGTGGGACAGCGCCTGGGACCCGCCTGCTGGAGTGGCAAGTAGCCTGGGTGCCTGGACACCCCTTCCTGCCCTCGGTGAGCAGGGGTGGGACTGAGTAGAGGACGCAAAGATTATTATTTTTTTTTGAGATGGAGTCTCGCTCTGTACCCCAAGCTGGAGTGCAGTGGCGCGATCTCGGCTCACTGCAACCTCTGCCTCCCGGGTCGCTGTTCAAACAATTCTCCTACCTCAGCCTCCCAAGTACTGGGATTACAGGCACGAGCCACCACGTCCAGCTTATTTTTGTATTTTTCAGTAGAGAAGGGGTTTCACCATGTTGGCCAGGATGGTCTTGAACTCCTGACCGCATGATCTGCCCACCTCGGCCTCCCAAAGTGCTGGGATTACAGGGGTGAGCCACAGCGCCCAGCTTTTTTTTTTTTTTTTTTTTTTAGACACAAGGTCTCACTCTGTCACCCAGGGTGGGGTGCAGTGGCATCATCATAGGTCATTGCAACCTCGACCTCCTGGGCACAAGTGATCCTCCCCACTCAGCTTCCTGGGTAGCTGGGTCCACAGGCGTGTGCCCCTACGCCTCATTAATTTTTATTTCATTTTATGTTTGAGATAGTCACTCTGTTGCCAGGCTGGAGTGCAGTGGTGCGATCTCAGCTCACTGCAATCTCCTCCCGGGTTCAAGCAATTCTCCTGCCTCACCCTCCCAAGCAGCTGAGATTACAGGTGCCTGCCACCATGACTGGCTAATTTTTTTTGAGACAGTTTCGCTCTTGTTGCCCAGGCTGGAATGCAATGATCTCAGCTCACCGCAGCCTCCGCCTCCCGGGTTCAAGAGATTCTCCTGTCTCAGCTTCCCAAGTAGCTGAGATTACAGGCACGCGCAATCATGTCCAGCTAATTTTGTATTTTTTTGTAGAGATGGGGTTTCTCCATGTTGGTCAGGCTGGTCTCGAACTCCTGACCTCAGGTGATCCACCTGCCTCAGCCTCCCAAGGTGCTGGGATTACAGGCATGAGCCACCACGCCCAGCCCATGCTTGGCTAATTTTTTGTTTTTTTTTTTTGAGACAGAGTCTCACTCTGTCGCCCAGGCTGGAGTGCAGTGATGCGATACAGGGTCACTGCAACCTCCACCTCCTGGGTTCAAGTGATTCTGCAGCCTCAGCCTCCTGAGTAGCTGGGACTACAGGCATGTGCCACTGTGTCAGCTAATTTTTGTATTTTTAGTAGAGATAGGGTTTCGCCATGTTGGCCAAGATGGTCTCAAACTCCTGACATCAGGTGATCTGCCTGCCTCAGACCCCTGAAGTGTTGGGTTTACAGGTATGAGACAGCGTGCCCAGTCTACTTTCTGTTTTTTAGTTTTTAATTTCAATTTTTGTTTTAGATGGAGTCCTGCGCTCTGTTGCCCAGGCTGGAGTTTAGCGGCACCATCTCGGCTCACTGCAACCTCCGATTCTCAGGTTCAGGCAATTCTCCTGTCTCAGCCTCCAGAGCAGCTGGATTACAGCCATCCGTCACCATGCCGAGCTAATTTGTTTTTGTATTTTTAGTATAAACGGGGTTTAGCCATGTTGGCCAGGCTGGTCTTGAAATCTTGATCTCAGGTGATCCACCCGCCTTGGCCTCCCAAAGTGCTGGATGACAGGCAGGAGCCACCGCACCGGGCCACAGCTCAGATTCTAAAGGAAGGAGGGAAGACGAGGCACCAGGAAAGGCGGGGATCAGCAGGAGGGCTCAGAGGTGGTCGGCGTCAAAGGCATTCACCAGCTGGTCACAGGGGCTCATACCTGTCATTCAGCATTTCGGGAGGATGAGGCAGGAGGACCGCCTGAGGCCAAGAGTTCAAGACCAGCCTGGCCAACACGGCGAGGTCCTGTCTCTAGAAAAATAAAAACAATTAGCTGGGCATGGTGATGAGTCCTGTGGTCTCAGCTACCCAGAAGGCTGAGGCAGGAGGATCGCTTGAGCCCGGAAGATGGAGGCTACAGCGAGCTCTGACTGCACTCCAGCCTGGGTGACAGAGCGAGACTCCTGGCTCAGAAACACAGAAAAAGAAAAGCATTCACCCAGGGGGCCTGAGGCTGTGTCCTCAGAAGGTGGCTGGAGAGGGCAGCCCTTGGTGGGTGTCCGGGAGCCTGCACTGGGGGACCCCTCAGTGACACGACAGGCTCTGGGGCCTCAGCTGCTCCTGCAAAAACCATGGTGTATGTGCGACCCTGCTTTCCTCTGGCGTCTGGAATCCCGGCATGGGCCAGGCAGGCTGCATAGGAATGCCACACTGGGTCTCTAGGTGCTTCCCCAGTGATGGCGCCTCTCTCTGGACTCGTGCTGGGGATGAGGTGCGATCTTTGAGGCTCCAGCAGGAGAGGATCTGGAAGGCCTGGCCCCCAGCACACCCCACACGCCTTTGCCCTGTACTGAATCTGCTGTGTCCTCTCGCTGTGACAAACCACACCCATGTGGGTGACCATGTGCTGAGCCACTGAGCCTGGCGGTGGCCCGGGCACCCCCGAGACAGATGCCGCAAGGGAGAAAGTGAGTTGGGCGGTGGGAAAGGGGTCCCTGCGAAGTGGGGGAAGGGTCCCGGGCAGAGGCAGCGCCCGCAGGTGCAGAGGCTGTGAGCTGGGCCTGGGATGGGCCGGCCCTGACTCACGCGGTCTCCCGCTCGTCCTCCTCCTGCTCCTGCCTCCGCCGCTCCTCCTCGGACAGGCGGTGCTGCCGCAGCATGGCCTCAAAGTCCACGTGCGCCTGCCGCTGGTTCAGGTCCTTCAGCTCCTGCAGATTCTCCAGCACCTCCATCTCCAGCTTGGAGTCCTTGGTCCTGTTCTCCAGCACCTGGTGGGTGTGGGGCAGAAGGGCTGAATGCATGGCGCCCTGGGCACACCCTGCCTGGCCTCGGGGACCACCGCGGGCCACGGGAGGAACCCCCCTACCCCAACGTTTCCATCCTGCTCAGGGAACTCCCTGCCCATGCCCAGTGCTGTGCCCATTTCACAAGTGAGAACACTCAGGTCTGGGGCAGGAAAGTGACGTCCATGGGGCTGAGCAGTGGTAGACCCAGGATCTGAGCCCCTGAGCAGGGTCGGGTGGAAAGAGTCCGGCTCTGGACTCAGGTGGCCTGCACTTCCGGCCTGGTGCCATCTTTCGGTAAAAATAATAGGGAAAAATTCAGCCAGGCGTGGTGGCTCACATCTGTAATCCCAGCATTTAGGGAGGCCGGGGTTGGAGGATCACTTGAGGTCAGGAGTTCGAGACAAGCCTGGTCCACATGGTGAAACCCTGTCTCTACTAAAAATACAGGCTGTGTGTTATGGCTCACGGCTGCAATGCCAGCACTTGGGGAGGCTGAGGAGGCTGAGGAGGGTAGATCACTTGAGGTCAGGAGTTCGAGAGCAGCCTAGGTCACATTGTGAAATCCTAGCTCTACTAAAAATACAAAACTGGCTGGGGGTGGTGGCGTCTGCCTGTCATTCCAGCTACTTGGGAGGCTGAGGCAGGAGAGTTGCTTGAACCTGGGCAGCAGAGGTTGCAGTCAGCTGAGATCGCATCATGTACTCACACCTCAGTGACAGAGTTAGACTCCACCTCAAAAAAATAAATAAAAATAAAAATACAAAAATTAGCTGGGGGTGGTGGCGCACACCTGTAATCCCAGCTACTTGGGAGGCTGAGGTAGGAGAATCACTTGAACCTGGGGTACAGAGGTTGCAGTGAGCTGAGATTGTGCCAGTGCATTCCAGTCTGGGTGGCAGAGCGAGACTTCATCTCAAAAAAAAAAAAATAATAATAATAATAATAATAAGGAAATATGTAAAAAGAGAACCTGAGCACCTACTGTATGCCGGGCTAACACCTTACACTGGGCCAAAATCTTTCCATATGCAATCTCATTTAATCCTCACAGCCCCAATTTTACAGAAAAGAAAACTGAGGCTGAGGGAGGTGAGTCTGGCAGCCACAGGCCTCTGAGAACTGGCTTTGGAGCCAGGCCGGGCTGGGCGTCAATTCTGCCTGGCTGCTTCCCAGTGCTGTGACCTTGTGGTCTTTACCCTTTGGAAAATGGCAATTCTGGTAGTTTTAAAATATATCCACAAACACTCTGATGCTCCTCCCTTTAAGGGGTGGCGGTAACTCTCCTCCCCTTTAGCAGGGGCCGGACATGGCTACTTGCTCTAATGGGCTATGACAGAAGTAACAGCATGTCACTTCTGAGAACAGGACATAAAAGCACAGGGCTTCCTCCTTGCTCTCTCACTCTCAAGTCTCAGGTAGGCAGCCGCCATGTTGTGAGGATGCTCAAGCAGCTCTCCAGGTGGCGAGGCGCAGAGGCCTCCTGCCAACAGCCAGTAGAGGGAGCCAGTTTTCAAGTGGCTCCTCCAGCCCCAGTCTAGCCTTCAGATGACACTGCCCTGGCCAACACCTTGATTGTAACCTCATGGGAGCCCCAAGCCAGAACCATCCAGCTTAGCTGCTTCTGGATGCCTGACTCTCAAAAACTGTGGGATACTAGATGTCTGTTGTTTGAGGTCACTAAGTTTTGGGATAACCTGTTATGTAGCAATAGCTGACTAGTACCAGGGTTAAGAGCCCCTTGCTGTCAGCATGGAGGTAACTAAAGTTGCACACAGACAGCAGTGCAACAGCCCCAGGCACACGCCAAACCCTCACCAAGGCTCATTTCCCTCCCTGTTGCTCTGCATGGCCGTGGAAAATGCTGGATCAGCTCTGATGCAGCTTGCTCAGAAAACTCACATTTGGAAGGGGTGGGTGGGTCCAGAAAAAGATGGGAATGGATGGGAAATATGGGAGTGGGAGGGGACAGCAGTGAACAGAATCATTTTAAAATTTATTATATATGTGTGTGTTATACACACATAGGTATCTGTATGTGTATGTATATATATGTGTGTATATATATGTACAAATACACACACACACACACATATACACATTTTTTTTTTCAGAGTCTTGCTCTGTCTCCCAGGCTGGAGTGCAGTGGTATGATCATAGCTCACTGCAGTCTCGATCTCCTGGGCTCAAGTGATCCTCCTGCCCCAACATCCCTAGTAGCTGGAACTACAGTTACACACCAGTACAGTACACCTGGCTAATTTTTTAAGGTTTTTTAGACACAGAGTCTCACTGTGTTGCTCATGCTGGTCTAGGACTCCTGGACTCAAGTGATACTCCCGTCTCAACCCCTAAAGTAGCTGAGACTAACAGGTTCAAGCCACCATGCCTGGCTCATTTCAATATTTCTGAGAAAAACAAAATTGTCCAATTGGAAGTGAATATAATTTATTTTATTTTATTTTATTTTATATTTGAGACAGAGTATTGCTCTGTTGCCCAGGCTGGAGTGCAGAGGCACGATCTTGGCTCACTGTAACCTCTGTCCTCCAGGTTCAAGCAATTCTCCTGCCTCAGCCTCCTGAGTAGCTGGGATTACAAGTACGCACCACCACGCCTGGTTATTTTTTTTCTTTTTTTTCTGAGACAAAGTCTCACTCTGTTGCACTGGTGTGATCTTGGATCACTGCAACCTCTGCCTCCTGGGTTAAAGTGATTCTCCTGCCTCAGCCTCCTGAGTAGCTGGGATGAAAGGTGTGTGCCAACATACCCAGCTAATTTTTGTATTTTTCATAGAGATGGGGTTTCACGATGTTGTCCAGGCTGGTCTCAAACTCTTGACCTTATGATCTGCCTGCCTTGGCCTCCCAAAGTGCTGGGATAACAGGTGTGAGCCACTGTGCCTGGCCTCCTGCGGACATCTTGAAGTTTTACCAACCATGCCACCTAACCCATCTTCCTTCTATGGGGACCTGAGGCAGGTAAGGCACACCCGCTGGCACATCCACCCCCACAACACACACACCTACCCACCCCCCCCACACCCCCACACATTCCTACACACACACACACACACCCCTGCCCACACACATGCACTTACCCACCCACACACACCCACCCATAAACCCACATCTACACCTACACACACACCCGCACCCACACACCCACACCTACACACCGCCCCACACACACACTGACAAACCCACACCTACACCTACACACACACCTGTGTACACACACACACACACACACACACACACACACAATGCCCATGAACACCTACATACCCCCAGCTCACCTTCATGGGGTTGTTCAGCTCCTCATCCTCCCGCTCTTTCTGCACCCTCTTCTCCTCCTCCTCCAGGAGCTTCTCAGCCTGGAAATTTCTCGTGGCTCCGTGCTCCATGGTGTAGTCTGTGTTTTCAGGGTCTGTCTGGAGGGAGGATAGACAGACATTAGCTCCTACATCCCCAGGCACTGGAAACTTCTAAAGCACTACCAGCAGTTCAGGGCCCCTTCTAATTTTTTTTTTTTTTTGAGACAGAGTCTTGCTCTGTCACCAGGGTGGAGTGCAGTCGCATGATGTCGGCTCACCGCAACCTCCGCCTCCCAGGTTCAAGCGATTCTCCTGCCTCAGCCTCCTGAGTAGCTGGGACTACAGGTACGCGCCACCGTGCTCAGCTAATTTTTGTATTTTTAGTAGAGAGAGGGTTTCACCATATTAGCCAGGATTGTCTTCATCTCTTGACCTCGTGATCCACCTGCCTTGGCCTCCCATAGTGCTGCGATTACAAGCATATGATCCACCGTGCCCAGCCATCCTTCTCTCTGATTTTTACAGGTTCTACTACCTTTTCTTTTTCTTATCTTATTGCTTTGGCCAGTGCAGTTTCTTCCTAGTGCTCCTCCCATCTCTTTGGGCAAAAATGCCCAACTCCCTGGCATGGACTTTAAGGCTCTTCTCTATGTGCCCACTCCCTTCCTGCTGCCATTGCCTACCCTCAACATGACTGCAAATAAAATCTCCAAGGAGGTGGGTAGATCACTGGAGACCAGGAGTTCAAGACCAGCCTGGCCAATATGGTGAAACTCTGTCTCTACCAAAAAAAGAAAAATTAGGCCGGGTGTGGTGGCTCAAGCTTGTAATCCCAGAACTTTGGGAGGCCAAGGCAGGTGGATCACGAGGTCAAGAGATCGAGACCATCCTGGTCTACGTGATGAAACCCCGTCTCTACTAAAAATACAAAAAATTAGCTGGGCATGGTGGCGCGTGCCTATAATCCCAGCTACTCAGGAGGCTGAGGCAGGAGAATTGCCTGAACCCAGGAGGCGGAGGTTGCGGTGAGCTGAGATTGCGCCATTGCACTCCAGCCTGGGTAACAAGAATGAGACTCTGTCTCAAAAAAAAAAAAAAAAAAAAAAAAAAGAAAAGAAAAATTAGGTCAGGCATCATCCTGGCTCATGCCTGTAGCCCCAGCGCTTTGAGAGGCCAAGGCAGGTGGATCAGGAGGTCAGGAGTTCGAAACCAGCCTAACCAACATGGTGAAACCCTGTCTCTACTAAAAATACAAAAATTAGACAGGTGTGGTGGCACATACCTGCAATCCCAGCCACTCAGGGGGCTAAGGCAGGAGAATTGCATAAACCCGGGAGGTTGAGGTTGCAGTGGGCCAAGATTGCGCCACTGCACTGAAGTCTGGGTTACAAATTGAGACCTTGTCTCAAAACAAAAACAAAAACAAAAACAAATCTCCAGGCTTGGGCAATTGTTGTGATGTCTACCCTTTGTATTTATTAGCACCTTTTCTCTGACAATAAATCACACGTACAAATAGGTATAGAGCATACCCTGTTTTTGTTTATTGAACAGAGTGGCTAGATACACCCTGGTATCTTGAATTACAAACTGGAACAGAAAAGCGACATTAGCAGAAAAACTGAAATCTACATTCACTCTAAATGCTAATAGTAACACTACGTTTCTTGTGTTTTTCTGGGATAGGGTCTCACTCTGTTGTCCAGGCTGGATCATGAGGTCAGGAGTGCAGTGACAGGATCATAGCTCACTGCAAACTCTGCCTCCCAGGTTCAAGCAACCCTCTCACCTCAGCTTCCAAGTAGCTGGGACTACAGGTGTGCGCCACCATGCCTCGCTAATTTTTAAATTTTTCAGTTGAGACAGGGTTTCGCCACGTTGCCCAGGCTGGTCTCGAACTCTTGGACTCAAGTGATCCTCCCGCCCTGGCCTTGAAAGTGCTGGAATTACAGGTATGACCTATGGCACCCAGCCTACAATGTTAATGGGGTAACATTCTACCTTTACATTCATTTGTTTGGAGACTGAGTCTTGCTGCGTTGCCCAAGCTGGAGTGCAATGGTGCAATCTCGGCTCACTGCAATCTCTGCCTCCCGGGTTGAAGCAATTCTCCTGCCTCATACTCTCAAGTAGCTGGGATTACAGGTGCGTGCTACCATGCCTGGGTAATTTTTGTATTTTTAGTAGAGATGGGAGTTTTACCATGTTGGCCAGGCTGGTCTTGAACCCCTGACCTCAAATGATCCTCCCTCCTCGGCCTCCCAAAGTGCTGGGATTATAGGCATGAGCCACCGTGCCTGGCCTCCAAAAATTTTTTTAATTAAAAAGAAGAAACTAGGCCAGGTGCAGTGGCTCACACCTATAATCCCAGCACTTTGGGAGGCCGAGGCGGGCAGATCACGAGGTCAAGAGATTGAGACCATCCTGGCCAATGTGGTGAAACCCTGTCTTTAAAAAAAAAAAAAGGAACCTAACGGTAGAATGTTACCATTAACATTGTAGGCTCAGGCCGAGGTGGGAGGATCACCTGAGGTTGGCGGTTTGAGACCAGCCTGACCGATATGGAGAAACCCCATGTCTACTAAACATACAAAATTAGCTGGGCATGGTGGCACATACCTGTAATCCCAGCTACTCCGAAGGCTGAGGCAGGAGAATCGCTTGAACCCAGGAGGCGGAGGTTGCGGTAAGCAGAGATCCCGCCATTGCACTCCAGCCTGGGAAAACAGGAGTGAAACTCCATCTCAAACAAACAAACAAACAACATTTTGTGTGTAGAGACCGGGTCTCACTATGCTGCCCACGCTAGTCTTCAACTTCCAATCTCCAGCATCCTCCCGCTTTGCCTTCTCAAAGTGCTGAGATTATAGGCGTGAGCCACCATGCCCAGCCCCCCGCTTAGTTTCTTATTGTGACAGATGTTCCCTAGTTATATAAGATGCGAGTATGTGGGGAAGCTGCTGGGGGGTGGGTGAGAACTGTGTGTACTATCTTTGGAACTTTTCTGTAAGTCTACAAGTATTCCAAAAGAAGTTGGTTTTTTTTTTTTTTTGAGACAGGGTCTCGCTCTGTCACTCTGGCTGGAGTGCAGCGGTGAAATCACGGCTCTCTGCAGCCTCTGCCTCCCAGACTCAGTTGATCCTCCTGCCTCAGCCTCCCGAGTAGCTAGGACTACAGGCACATGCCATCATACCCAGCTAATTTTTGTATTTTTTTGTAGAGACAGGGTCTTACTATGTTGCCAAAGCTGGTCTTGAATTCCCGGATTCAAGCAATCCTCCTTCTTTGACCTCCCAAAGCGTTGGGATTACAGGCATGAGCCACTGCACCCAGCCAAAATATTATTATTATTATTATTTATTTTTGTATTTTTTAGTAGAGTTGGGGTTTCACCATGTTGGCCAGGCTGGTCTTGAACTATTGATCTCAACTGATCGCCTCTCAAAGTGCTGGGATTACAGGCATGAGCCACTGCGACCAGCCCAAAATCTTTTTTAATCAAAGAAAAAAAGCTTATGGCAAAAAAGCACTCAGTGTACTTAAGCAAAGAAAGAGAAAATTTTAAGTTCTCTTCAGTCTTTCCTCAAATCCTTAAGGTAAAAATCAAACTATGACTTTTATTGGCCATGTAATATTCCGTTGTGGGCTATCTTTTTATTTTTTATTTTTTTGAGATGGAGTTTCACTCTGTTGCCCAGGCTAGAGTGCAGTGGCGAGATCTGTGCTCACTGCGACCTCCACCTCCCAGTTCAAGCAATTCTGCTTTGGCCTCCCAAGTAGCTGGGATTACAGGTGTGCACCACCACACCCAGCTAATTTTTGTATTTTTAGTAGAGATGGGGTTTTACCATGTTGGCCAGGCTGGTCTCAAACTCCTGACCTCAGGGAGTCTCTCTCCTGCCTTGGCTTCCCAAACTGCTGAGCTGGGATTACAGGCATGAGTCACTGCGCCTGGTTTGGCTTTTTTTTTTTTTTTTTTTTAGACGGAGTCTTGCTCTGTCACCCAGAGGGAGTCCAGTGGGGTCCAATCTTGGCTCACTGCAACCTCCGCCTCCCAGGTGCAAGTGATTCTCCTGCCTCAGCCTCCCATGTAACTGGGATTACAGTTCACCACCACACCCAGCTAATGTTTGCATTTTTTTTTTTTTTTTTTTTGAGACGGAGTTTCGCTCTTGTTACCCAGGCTGGAGTGCAATGGCGCGATCTCGGCTCACCGCAACCTCCGCCTCCTGGGTTCAGGCAATTCTCCTGCCTCAGCCTCCTGAGTAGCTGGGATTACAGGCACGAGCCACCACGCCCAGCTAATGTTTTTTGTATTTTTAGTAGAGACGGGGTTTCACCATGTTGACCAGGATGGTCTCGATCTCTCGACTTCGTGATCCACCCACCTCGGCCTCCCAAAGTGCTGGGATTACAGGCTTGAGCCACCGCGCCCGGCCTGTTTGCATTTTTAAGAGAAGAGCATTTCGCCACGTTGGCTAAGCTGGTCTTGAGCTTCTGGGATTATAGGTGTGAGCCACCACGCCCGGCCTGCGTTCTAATTTGTTCTTCTCATCCCCTATGATGATCTGTCGAGGTTGCGTCTGTCTTTCTGCCTTTATGTAGAATGCTGCCATGAACATCTCCTCCAAACTGCTGTCTGTTTCTTGGGGATGAACTGAAACGAGATTCCCTGGATGGAGAGGATGGGAGTGAGGAACCCTGGGGCCCGCCCTGATGTCAGGCGTGCTGGGGGAGAGGGACCAGCCTGGCTGGCCGTCTTGTCTACCTTGAAGGTGATCTCTGCCAGGCAGCGAGTGCATTTGATGTAGAAGCGGAAGATGGGCAGGCCCAGGTAGACCTCGTTCTGCACCGTCTCCTTCCGAGCGTTGAATTTCTTCCCCTTGTAGATGTATTCTCCGCATGTCTTGCACCTGTGGGGCAGGATGGAGGGACGCACGCTTTCTTGGGACTCTGGCTCTCACTGGTAGGCTGTCCCTGTGGTGCCCTGCGAGATCACTGCTTGCTTGCCTCCAGCGATGGGGAGCTCCCTCCCTCACGAGGCAGCCTGCCCCAGCCAGCCTGTGTCCAAATTTCCTCCACCTGAGAACCTCCCGTTCCCATTCACATCTTTCTGGGGTTTGCTCCAAGGGTCGCCTGCTTGGGAAGCCCCGAGTAGGTGAGACCTGCCTGTCATGCACTCCCAGAAGCCATCTCGGTATTTACAGGGCCCCCTACCCTCCAAGAGGGAAGATGCCACACAGAAAAATGCTGCCCCAGCTCCCTCTCCTTGTCCTATGCAGGGCTCTGCTCCCCAGCCCAGCATGCCCCCGGCCTGTCTGATCCTCTGCGCTTACGGTCCCATGGCCAGTGACACCCTTCATCCTCAGACCTCAGCGCCACAGCATTTTGTCTGATGTAGCCCTGATCACCCCAAATACCTCCACATCTTCCTTCTCCGCCACCAACCCAGGGGCTCTCTCCTGCCTGACCTACGGGGCCCTGCACCTGCCTGACTACCTAGCATCTCCACTTCCCGTTAGACTGTGGGCTCCATGAGGCCAGGGACTTTGTTTCTAGTGCCCAGCATAGACCCTGGCACACAGCAGGTGCCCAACCAATGAGTGCTGAATGAATGAATGAATGAATGAATGAATGAAGGGGAGGAGCAGGTCAACAACACATGGGCACGAACCAAATTTCACTGACCCAAATGTCTCCTTATTAGGTGTGTGATTTCAAACATGCTACAACATGAAAAGGTATGGCGTGTAGAACTGGTGAAATACAATCATTCTAAAGTCTACAAAGGCAAGCTCTGGGTACTGTGAGAGGGGAGGATGGAGGCCTCCCGGAGGGCTGAGATATGAGCCATGACGTACGGCAGACAAGAGGGGCCTGCCATGTGGAAACGGAGGGAGAAGGCTGGGCATGGTGGCTCACGCCTGTCATCCCAGCACTTTAGGAGGCTGAGGAGGGCAGACTGCTTGAGCTCGGAAGTTCAAGACCAGCCTGGCCAACATGGCGAAATGCTGAGTCTACTACAAATATAAAAATTAGTGGGGCACAGTGGCTCATGCCTGTACTCCCAGCACTTTGGGAGGCTGAGGCAGGTGGATCACTTGAGGTCAGGAGTTCGAGACTAGCCTGGCCGACATGGTGAAAACCCACCTCTACTAAAAATACAAAAATTAGCTGGGCGTGGTGGCTGCATGCCTGTAATCCCAGCTACTCAGGAGGCTGAAGCAGGAGAATCGCTTCAACCTGGGAGGCAGAGGTTGTGGTGAGTTGAGATCATGCCACTGCACTCCCACTCCAGCCTTGGCAACAGAGCGAGACTCTGACTCAAAAAAAAAAAAAAAAAAAAAAAAAAAAAAAGAAAAGAAAAGAAAGTAGAGGGAGAGAGTTACAGGTAGGGGCAGCAGTGCATGCAAGGGCCCTGGGGCAGGAGCGAGCTCGGCTGTTGAAGGAGCTGAAATGTATCTATGGGGCCGCATCTCTGGGGCCCTATCTTCTCTGCTCACACCTTTACTAACCACCAAGACCTGTAGGTGGCCCTGGCCGGGAGGCTCTAAGAGATCCGGAGCTGAATCCCGAATGGTGAGGTGAGGGAGGGCTGGATGGTCAATGTCTCAGCCGGGACCAGTGACCCAGTGTGAACACGGAACAGGTCACCCCTGTGTTCACCCCAGGCACTACGTCCCACAGCCGTGACCGGTGTGTGGGGTCATGCAGGGGGTGCTCACCTCATGTTGAAGGGCGCCATCAGCCGCACCACGTACTGCCGGTCTTTGGGGAGCTTGAGTTTGGGGATCTTTGACGGGTCAAAGTCCGGCGGGTAGTATTTCTGTGGGGGAGGAAGGAAACATTGTGGCGTTATTTTCAGAAGCAGGACGTGGGCAGAGGGAAGGGGGTCTAGGGAGCTGTGTCAGGGGTCCCCAAGCCCACCCACGGTCCGCGACATGCAAGGAGGACTCGCAGGACTCAGTACAGTCAGGGGGAGGCCAGGTGCAAACTTCCAGACTCTCCGCCAAGGGAGTCACACACGACGCATTAAACTCTCCCAACACGAGTCATGACAACACACTAGAAACACTGTCTACACGGGAGACTCTAAAAAGCCAGGGTGTTTTTCTTTTTTTTTTGAGACGGAGTTTCACTCGTCGCCCGGGCTGGAGTGCAATGGCGCAATCTCTGCTCACTGCAACCTCCGTCTCCTGGGTTCAAGCGATTCTCCTGCCTCAGCCTCCCAAAGTGCTGGGATTACAGGGGTTAGCCACTGCACCCGGCCAAAAAGCCAGGGTTTTTATGGGGACTGGTCATGTAGGTACCCTCTGCCTCACAGGAGCCATGATTCCAGAATCCCAGAAGCAAAGCAGGGGTTCAGTATAAACCATTCTGTTGGCACGCTTTTGTTTGTTTTTTGAGACGGAGTTTTGTTCTTGTCACCCAGGTTGGAGTGCAGTGGCGCCTTCTTGGTTCACTGCAGCCTCTGGCTCCTGGGTTCAAGGGATTCTCCTGTCTCAGCCTTCCAAGGAGCTGGGATTACAGGTGCCCACCACCAAGCCCGGCTAATTTTTTGTATTTTTAGTACAGACAGGGTTTCACCATGTTGGCCAGGCTGGTCTCCAACTCCTGACCTTGTGATCTGTCCATCGCAGCTTCCCAAAGCGTTGGGATTACAGGCATGAGCCACATCATCTGGCCTAATTTTTATACTTGTAGTAGAGACAGTGTTTCACCATGTTGGCCACGCTGGTCTCAAACTCCTAACCTCAAGTGATCCTCCGGTCTCAGCTCCACAAAGTGTTGGGATTACAGGTGTCAGCCACCGCGCCCAGCCTCCTTTTTTTTTCTTCTTTTTTGAGACAGAGTCTCATTCTGTCACCCAGGCTGGGTTACACTGGCACAATCTCAGCTCCCTGCAACTTCTGTCTCTCAGGCTTGGCCAATTATCCTGCCTCAGCCTCTCAAGTAGCTGGGATTACGGGCACCCGCCACCATGCCTGGCTAATCTTCTTTGTATTTTAGTAGAGATGGGGTTTCACCATGTTGCCCAGGGTGGTTTTGAACTCCTGAACTCAGGCTAATGGCCCACCTCGGCCTCCCAAAATGCGGAGATTACAGGTGTGAGCCATTGCGCCCGGCCGCAAACAGGTCTCTCTAGGAAAGCAGTCCCAGGCTTGCTGTAGGAACTCCTGGCAAACAGGAGCCCTAGGAAACAAGGGGAGTGTGAGTATGGATTATGACAAATAACTCCTCTGTACCGCTGGAAAATAAAGCACTTTGGTTTAGAGCACTTGCTGGGTATCAGATACTGCAAAAAACACTTTATCGCCCTTGCCTCAAGGAACGTGTGCAAACACTCGGAGATAGAGGACAATGTGCCCATTTTACAGACGAGTAAACTGGGCCTCACAGGTTTCAGCTACTCAGGATTCAGATCTATGGACACGACTCCGTAGGAAAACGATGTAGTGTAGTGATTGGGAGCCTAGCCTAAGAGAGTCCTGGTTTGCCCTCTACAGAGTTGCGGGGTGCAGTTGGGATAACTAGGGGAACTGCGGGGTGCAGTTGGGACAACTAGGGGAACTGTGGGTCTTCTGCCGGAGTAATAGACGCATTAAGTAAAGCTTAACCTCTACAAAGGGCAGAGCGCGGTGGCTCACCAGTGTAATCCCAGCACTCTGGGAGGCCGAGGCGGGTGGATCACCTGAGGTCCGGAGTTCGAGGCCAGCCTGGTCAACATGGTGAAACCCCGCCTCTACTAAAAACACAAAAATTAGCCGAGCCTGGTGGCAGGTGCCTGTAATCCCAGCTAATCGGCAGGCTGAGGCAAGAGAATGGCTTGAACCCGGGAGTCCGAGATTGCAGTGAGCGCATATCGCGCCGCTGCCCTCCAGCCCGGTGCACGAAAGGAAAACTCCGCCTCAAAAAACAAAAAACAAACAGAACCTCCCCAAAGAAAGCGATTGGCTACAGGCCCAAGAGGAAGCCCCGCCCCCAGAAAAACGTGATGGGCTCATTCCATCCGGAAAATCCTATCTGGTGAAGTGATTGGGTAAAAGCCCAAGCCACGCCCCACAGGTGACTGGCTACACCCCAGCCCGGAAGGGAGGAGTTAGCGAAGACCCACCCGCCATGGGAGGGGATGGGGAGGAGTCTGGGAAGCACCGTCCCGCTGAAGGCCGTTGGGGAAGAGGCATTCCAAAGTGGAGATTCCCAGGAATGCCCTCCCTCTCCAGAAGTTCCTGAACGTGCCTTTCCGACTGGAAAGCCCCACCTGCCCATCACTTACGTTTAATACTTTTCGCTCCGACATCTTTGCCTCCTAATCGCCTCGCAAGCACTGGAGAAATGGTTAGACTCGGGAATTATCGAGCTTTTCCGACGGAAGTCTATACTTCCGTCAACGTCACTTTCTTCAGCCTCTAATATTGGCTGCAGCGTGCACAACTAACTTCTCTCATTGGTTCCCATCCCCGCCTATCAAGGTGGGAGTCGCACCTTCTTCCCTCCCGAGTTGCAACCTGTATAGCGCGAAATAAGGGTTCCGGGAGCCGTCTGGAATTGGAGAATTTTCTAGAGTGCGTCGCGAGCTTTAGAAGCGGGCAGCGGCTCGTTATATTTTGTGACGTGACTTGGCTAACTGTCGCGACAGCCCTTGTTCTTCATTTTTTTTATTCAGCAAATTTGTATTATGCGCCTGCCTTGTATGGTGGGCTCTGGGAACCCACACATCGTTCCTGTAACCTAACTTCACATGGGGTCCCGGCCACACACAAGGTGACTTAAGAGGACCCTGGACGCCCCTTGAGTCACAGATTGACTTAAAGATCAGGCTCCAAACCCACTTCCTAAACACACGCAGTGTCTCCCAAATGTCCCTCCATTGCCCACCTGTGCCTTCCCCTTAAAGAGGCCTTCCCATTCCATTCCTTCCCCAGCCTCCTCCCCGCCTTTCATGGACGTTTCCTCTGTGTCAGATTGTTCCAGGAAAGGTAATTGGATCCAAATCCCAAGAGAGGGTTCTTGGGTCTTGTGCAAGAAAGAATTCAGGGTCTTGTGCAAGAAAGCCAAAGCAAGTTTAATTAACAAAGAAGATAGGCCGGGTGCGGTGGCTGACGTCTGTAATCCCAGCACTTCGGGAGGCCAAGGCAGGAGGATCACCTGAGTTCGGGGGGGAGTTCAAGACCAGCCTGACTAACATGGAGAAACCTTGTCTCTACTGAAAAAAAAAAAAAAAAAAAAAAAAAAAAAAAAAAAAAAAAAAAATTAGTCCAGCGTGGTGGCTTATGCCTGTAATCTCAGCTGCTGGGGAGGCTGAGGCAGGAGAATTGCTTGAACCCAGCAGGCTGAGGTTGCAGTGAGCCAAGATTGTGCCATTGCACTCTAGCTTGGGCAAAAAGAGTGAAACTTGTCTAAAAAAGAAAGGCTACTCCATAGAGCAGCCCTGAGGGCTGCTGGTTGCCCATTTTTATGGTTATTTCTTGATGATATGCTAAACAAGAGGTGGATTATTTATGCCTCCCTTTTTTAGACCATATAGGCTAACTTCTTGATATTGCCGTGGCATTTATTTACTTATTTATTCAGAAGGAGTCTTGCTCTGTTGCCCAGGCTGAAGTGCAGTGGTGCCTGCCTCTTGGCTCATGGCAACCTCCACCTCCAGGATTCAAGTGATTCTCATGCCTCATCCTCCCCTGTAGCTGTGATTGCAGGGGTGCACCACCATGCTTGGGTAATTCTTGTATTTTTAGTAGAGACGAGGTTTCACCTTGTTGGCCAGGCTGGTCTCGAACTCCTGACCTCAAGTGATCCACCTCCCTCAGCTTCTCAAAGTGCTGGGATTACAGGTGTGAGCTGCCATGCCCGGCCTGCCTTGGCATTTGTAAACGGTCATGGCGCTGGTGGGAGTGTAGCAGTGGGGACAACCACACGTCATTCTCGTTGCCATCTTGGTTTTGGTGGTCTTTGGCTGATTTCTTCACTGCAACCTGTTTCTTTTCTTCCTTTTTTTTTTTTTTTTTTTTTAGACAGAGTTTCACTTTTGTTGCCCAGGCCGGAGTGCAGTAGTACAGTCTCAGCTCACCACAACCTCCCCCTATCGGGTTCAAGCGATTATCCTGCCTCAGCCTCCTGAGTAGCTGGGATTACAGTCATGCACCACCACACCTGGCTAATTTTGAATTTTTTCTTCAAGTAGAGACGGAGTTTCACCATGTTGGCCAGGATGATCTTGAGCTCTTGACCTCGGGATCTACTTGCCTTGGCTTCCCAAAGTGCTGGGATTACAGGCTTGAGCCACCACACCTGGCTAAAAATCAACTCCATCTTAAAACTAACAAGGCACATTCCCTGTCAGTCACCACCCAGGTTCATAAGATGTATACAACTGAGAAAATATCTTACAAATCTCGGCAAGGAATGCTCCTACAGCAATGGAAGGTCCAGATGTCCTGATATCACATAGCAGTATATGCTTTTAAGATTGTTAATGTCGTCGGGCGTGGTAGCTCACGCCTGTAATCCCAGCACTTTGGGAGGCTGAGGTGGGTGGATCATCTGAGGTCAGGGGTTCAAGACCAGCCTGGCCAATATAGTGAAACCCTGTTTCTACTAAAAATCTAAAAAATAGCCAGGTGTGGTGGCAGATACCTGTAATCCCAGCTACTCGGGAGGCTGAGGCAGGAGAATTGCATGAACCCTGGAGGCAGAGGCTGCAGTGAGCCGAGATCGTGCCACTGCACTCCAGCCTGGGCAACAGAGTGAGACTCCACCTCAAAAAAAAAAAAAAAAAAAAAAAAAAAGAGGCCGGGTGCGGTGGCCTACGCCTGTAATCTCAACACTTTGGGAGGCTGAGGTGGGAGGATCACTTGAGTTCAGGAGTTCAAAGCCAGCCTGGCCAACATGGTGAAACCACTTCTCTGCTAAAAATTTTAAAATTAGCCGGGCATAGTGGTGCATGCCTGAATTCCAACTATTCGGGAGACTGAAGCCGGAGAATCACTTGGGAGATGGAGGTTGTAGTACGCCAAGATTGTGCCACTGCACTCCAGCCTGGGTGACAGGGCAAGACCCCATCTCATAAGCAACCTTAAAATAAAGACAAGGTGTTCCTCCTCTTGTTTTCTGATGACGCCCTACTTTGTAACTGAGTAGCTTTCAATAAACTCTCCCTTTTCTGCAATTCGCCTTTAATTCCTTCCTGCACAAGATCCAAGAACCCTCTCTTGAAGTCTACATAGGGACCCCCCTTTTTCTGGCACCAAGAAGGCAATAAAAAGGGACAATGAATGGTGTTAAATGAAGTTACAGGAGGCCATTGATTTGGCCCTGCCCTAGGCCCAACAGACCAAACCAAAATAAAATCCCTCATGCTGACGTTTTCACCACCAAGCTGGAGCTAAGTGGTTTTCTGATCTTCCAAGAAATTGAGAATGGGAAGGAAGTGGGAAGAGAGACACAGAGAGAGAATAGTCAAATCCATGAACAGAGGCAGGAGGATCACCAGAGCTCAGGAGTTCAAGACCAGCTTGGACTACATGGTGAAACCCTGTATCTACTAAAAATACAAAAATTAGCCAGGCCTAGTGGCCTGTGCCTGTAGTCCCAGGTACTCAGGATTCTGAGGCAGGAAAATCACTTGAACGTGGGAGGCGGAGGCTGCAGTGAGCCAAGATTGCGTCATTGGACTCCAGCCTGGGTGACAGAGCAAGACTCTGTTTAAAAAAAAAACAAAAAGTCCCTGAACAGGCCAGTTGTTTTAACCAACACAAAAAAGTCCCCTCTGCTCTAACCTTTACAAGAAAAGTTAACTTTGAAAAGACCAATTCACTTTTTGTTTTCTATTTCTGCTTTCCTCGGCTTTTTTCTGCCTATAAAACCAACCTCCTTTGCATTGAGCTGGGATGGCACCCCTGCACTCCAGCCTGGGCAACAAGAGCTAAACTCTGTCTCAATAAATAAATAAAACCAACCTCCTTTGCCAAAGTGGAAGGTCTAACAGATTTAAAAAGAAAGAAAAAGAACCCCCAAATCTCCTCTGCTCAGCTCATGGAAGCATTCTGAAACTAGTCCAATTTTTCCATAGAATGAATACTTATGGTTATTTGAATAAACATAGAAATAGATCCTTCCTAGTCTTAAAACTTGAAACTTCAATTTCTCTCATCTCGGTTCCTTCCTCAGGAAACTGACCATCAGGCAAGGAACTGAAACTCATCAGATCATCACATCCAGACAACTAGAAGCCAGACCCCACCATCCATCAAGATTACTTCCTTAACATCCTCCCCAAATTTCTGTTTTTTCCCATTCCCCAGCTATATAAACGCCCCAATTTTAGTTGGTCAGGGAGACATTTGTGATTTTACCACCCCTTCTCCTTACCTGAAGCAGCAGCATAATAAAGCCTTCCTCCCTGGCAATCCTTGTTGTCTCAGTGATCGACTTTCTGTGTAGGTGGCAGCAAGACCTAGACCAAACCCCTGCATTTTAGTAGCCAATTTGATGATGGAATGAGATGTTGTTCAATTCCAGATTTGCAAAGAAAGCCCAATTAAGATCTCTGAACTAGGACGGGTGCGGTGGGTCATGCCCATAATCCCAGCACTTTAGGAGCCAAGGCTGGCAGATCACGAGGTCAGGAGATCAAGAGTATCCTGGCGTATATGGTGAAACCCTTTCTCTACTAAAAGTACAAAAATTAGCTGGGCATGGTGGTGGGAGCCTGTAATCCCAGCTACTTGGGAGGCTGAGGCAGGAGAATTCCTTGAACCAGGGAGTCGAAAGTTGCAGTGAGCCGAGATTGTGCCACTGCACTCCAGCCTGGGCAACAGAGTGAGACTTCATCTCAATAGAAAATAAAACAAAACAAAACAAGAAGATCTCTGGACTAAATAGGTTGCAGCATTTGTTTCGTTTTGTTTTGTTTTGTTTTTGAGATGCAGTCTTACTATGTTGCCCAGATTGGAGTGCAGTGGCACAATCTCAGCTCACCGCAACCTCTACCTCCCAGGTTCAAGCGATTCTCCTCCCTCAGTCTCCCAAGTTGCTGGGACCTCAGGCATGCGCCACCACGCCTGCCTAATTTTTGTGTTTTTTTTTTTTTTTTTTTTTTTTTTTTTTGAGACGGAGTTTCGCTCTTGTTACCCAGGCTGGAGTGCAATGGCGTGATCTCGGCTCACCGCAACCTCCGCCTCCTGGGCTCAGGCAATTCTCCTGCCTCAGCCTCCTGAGTAGCTGGGATTACAGGCACGTGCCACCATGCCCAGCTAATTTTTTGTATCTTTAGTAGAGACGGGGTTTCACCATGTTGACCAGGATGGTCTCGATCTCTCGACCTCGTGATCCACCCGCCTCAGCCTCCCAAAGTGCTGGGATTACAGG